CAGAGAGGGTTGACAGGGGAGTCTAGAATTTAATGGTGACAGATTTGAGTAAGTTCTCAAAAAAAATCTATTATTTCAACAAATAAAAAGTCCGATTATCCTAACACATACCAACAGAAGTTTTAAAGTCACCTTTAGCAAAGAGAAATTATTTTTCCTGGCTACACTCCTAAAGAAAAATCCTGGAAAAACCCAGAGCTCATCTTACCCTTGTTAGCCCCAGCTGTTCAGTTTTCTGCTTTTTCCGTGGTCTGTTAGCTGCTTCTTCCATTTCATCCTCTTCATCTGTAGGTACTGGGACAGAAGACAGGCAGAGTTGAGCTACAGGTTTTTAATTCCATCTCCATGTAAGTAATGAAGCAAATACCCATATTTATGGCACCTGCAACCATCATGCAGGTGTTAACAAGATCTGAAATTGTATCATTAACCAAACCAGTAACTCAGCATAGTTATAGTTATGGATAGCTTTACAAACTTACATCTTACCTGCAGACCAGATCTTTAACATCTTATCCCAGGATCCACTGCAGAACTGTATGAACAGAAACATTTTGTTAAATGATCCAGACAGTCCCTGAATGAGAGACCTGCTTGAAAAACTAATCAATGGGTTATAACATACAAGTAACAGTGCTAGCTAGGCTCCTAAAATTCCCCCAAAAATGTTTGGCATACATCAAATTATTCTTTTTACTTCCTTTGCAAGAAAAATACCTAAAAAACACCTATTTCCTTCAGCACCAAAAAGCTTGACTTCAATCTGTCTGATATTAAGTCAAGCTGGGAGCAATGACTCCACCTTTGGTGGTGCTCATGACTGTTGAATTCCTGGATGAAGGGAAAGAACCTCTTTACCACCTGCTTTTTCCAAGAACTCTGGAATTTTTTTTCCCATCAAATCCACTGTGAAAATTTAGGTCAAATTTGAAAATAGTTTATTATTGCACAAAATTCTCATGCATTTAAAGTAAAATACACTTTAAAATTTAACTTGTTTTCTAAACTAAATGATTTTGTGATTCTATGGCTTAGCATTGATGTAACACTCCTAATTCTCAATAACCACCACTTACAACAAGACTGGAAAATTACCACTGTGTCATAAAATCATGATGATGAATACCCATGCAAGGACAAACCCGGGATTTTTGAGGTATAGGCTGCTAAATCCCAAACCACAAAGGTTTCTTTCCAGAAGTCACTCACTTTGGTTCTTGTACAATCAACAGCCACAGACTCGACACTGCCAGCGTGTCCCCTGCAGCAGTGAAGGGCTTTCACTTTGTTTTTCTCCACGTTCCACTCCCAGAGCAGGACAGTTTGGTCCATGGAAGCGCTGAGTAACAGGCATGATAAACTATCTGAGGAAGAAGAAAGTTACACTCACATCAACTCAACTTTCCAAAGTCTTTGTAAATAATTATTCTAATCCTAGAAGAAACAGTAGATAGACAGAAACTCATGTGTGTTTCAGTTTATGTCATGTTACCCTGCAAGCACAATTAATATAACTACATATACACCAGGATTTGCTAATGGAGACTGCAAAGTGGACAGACAATCATAAAGTAACTATATTCATTACTGTCAAAGGAATATTTTAGGCATACCATTACTTCATTTCTTACACCACTGACAGAGATTGAAGTAATTACATTTAGATAATTTAGATACATTTATATAGTTAAGGAATGCTAACATTTCTTCCCCAGTAAATCAAACTACTACTATTCCCCTGCTATATACACTGACCTTGCTTCACCCATGCCACATCCTTCACTACTTCTGTGTGCCCAGGTATTGTCATGATGGATTTTCCTTCCACAGACCAGATCCGAGCAGTCTGATCGTAGCAACCAGTTAGTATCCTACAGGGTACAGCATTGGAAACATCATTGTCTTTAAGACCAACAAACCTTTTTATGAAATAAAGCCTCAACCAGAAACTTGGAGAACTATTAGCACAGTAACTGGTTTAAAAGAAATAGCTTGAAAGATGAATAAATATATTTTTTTTCTATAGAGCAAAGCTTCATTAAAATCTGGTAACTGGGAGGCCAAGAGTACAAGCTAGAAAGACAAGCAGTAAGAGTACGGCATGTTCTGGTTGGTGGGACTTAAGATCCCTTATATAATTTACATAATTCAAAACTTAATTGTTAGTTTTAGTATGTTGCTGGAGGTTCTCAAAACATTTTCAAATCTCTACTTAATATATAAACATTATTTAGTTGACTGGGAAACTAATGTGAAAATACAGTAAAAAAAAGCAATTATTCATTTTTGGCTTTTTTTTTCAGAAAAATATCTGCAGAAAGATATGCTATTCTATTTGTTGCTAATGGGTATCACATTGGAAGTCAAGGGTTTAAGTGAAAAAGAGAGATGAGGAAAACTTCCTTTCCTTTAAGAAAAAGGATACTAAACAGCATTTGTTTTGTTCATTTATATATGCAGTATCTTCTGTTCAGTTCAGTGTCTCTAGCTGTTTGCTACCTGTGTTAAATTCACTGTCACATGACAGTGTAACCAGTGAACTGCTTACAAAAGCAAGTAGTTGACTTACTTGACAGGTTAAAAAAAAAAAAAAGAAAAATGAAGCCAAGGGGGAAAAAAACCCACGCAAGGGATTATTAAAGAGAGAATACTGCTCTATCTGATACCATGGAGGAACATGAATAAGCATGACAAAACTTAGAACTGGCTTAGTGTGGTACCATTCTTCAGTGGCTTGAACAGAACTGATCCAGTCATCATGGAAGATGCATTCTTCTGGCTGAGGGGCCATGTACTTCTCCACATACTCTATTTCCACCACTTCTTCCTGAGCTCACAGACAAAACACTTATTTAGTAATGCAGTGTGGTTTTGGTTTTTTTTAATCACTATCAGTAAAATTTAACTGTACTGTGGCACAAATATACAAGTTTATTGAGCAAAGGTCTTGATATCCAAGTCCTTTGCCACATCAGTAGAACTAAAGTATGAAGAAAAAAAGTGTGAATTACATTGCTTTCTATAGTCTTATCAAATTACTATTATTAGCAAGCTGGAAGCAAAAGCAAGTTATTTCACTCTTCTTACATTCCTCTTCTTCTATATATGCTAATACAAAACCAGTGTCTAAAATACTTTGCAACATTTTCTAGAGGTAATACTAAACATCTCCCTTATCCCCCACCATAAGAGACAAAAATGTATTAATGATGAACTGAATAAGAGAAGAATTTCCCCTCTGAACTGTACACAGACAACAGATTGGATAACATTCCTTGCACTGCTCTGTCTGTAGTCTCTAATCGCTGCAGTTCATAATGGATTTAAAAATACAGGGAATTCTCCTGGGAAAGTCAGGAAATAAATGAAACTGAGCAAGGAAATCTACCTAGCTAACAGTGTAATATCTAAATCAGATTGAAGTAAACTGTCTAAGTCTGTTCTGCTGTCCAAGAAGGGGAGACATTGAGTATGACTTACTGTGGAAATATTTTCCATTTCCATGTGGGTGACCAGCGGCAATCGCAAGAACTGGCCATTGATAAGGAAGTCAAATTCCACATACTTGTGATCCGCTGAAACATATTGGGAAAAATCAATGTTCAGATATCACTATTTATTTGATACCATGAAGAATGGCATCATTTTGTGACTGGTTCAGGGAAATGGAGCCAGGAAGAGTTTAAAAAAAGACCCAAACATAAACAACCTCCTCAAAACCAAACCAAAACCCCAAAACAAATGACAACAAAAACAAAACCCCCAACCAATTAGTTTCTTCTCCCAGTTTTAAGTGGGCAGCCCATTACTTCCACAGGATTATTTAAATTAAGAGGAAGGAAAATTTGCTGTTGTTTGCCTTTTATTGTATTTTCTCTGTAGCAATGTGTAATCAAACCCCAGCAGTGCTTCCTGACTGTTCTGGATAGATCTTGCCACTTGTTACCACCTGCTAGAGCCCTGTAATTGTGGCAGCAGCAGGAAAACCCTAAGAACTTTTTTCTCTCTTTGTAATGGCATAAATGACAAAGGCTCTGCATTTTGGCAGAAGCACTGCAATGTGCACTAGTTTTCTGTTCAAGATTGTTTGCAATGTCACGGGGTCAAAAGCAACTCGAAAAAGGCTCAAGAAGCACGGTATACCACTGAGCCAGTTTCTTACATAAAATGAGATTTTCCAACAACATTGGACAGCTCAATAATAGATAATAATAGATAATAATAATAATAGATAAAAAAATAGATAAGCTTTCAAGTCACTCGGCTCATTTCAGCACTGACAGAATAGCTGAGATTTTCTTAAAGGCTGCCACAAAAACCAAAACTCTGGTTTTATTAGTTCTTGTGCCAGGTTTTGGGCATTCCCTGCATTCCCATCTGCTGTGGCAGCCTGGCCTGTGGCGCCGGGCACACACAGTGTTCCAGCCCTTGGTCCATTTCTCCTGGGAATGCCCAGCAGCCCCGGTACCCTTCAGAGGCAGTTCCAGGAGTGCCTCACCGCCGGCAGCCAGGCCAAAGCGGCGGGGCAGGCCCGGCTGTGACAGCCCGCGCGGGGCCGGGCCGGGCCCGGGGACACGAGGGCTGCCGGGCTCCGACCCGCCGCGGGACCTACCATGCGCTGCCGCCAGCAGCTTGTTGATGAGGTGGCTGAGGTCGGTGGTCTCGGAGGCCGCGGGCACCGAGAAGGGCACATCCTCCACGGCGAACCTGCGGGCACAGCGCTCCGTTACCGCCTCTGCGTCACCCGCTCCCGAACCCGCCCCCGGCCCGGGAGGGGAGGCCGCTCACCTGCGGTTCTCGGTGCGGAACCGCGCCGTGAGCTGCGCCATCGCCGCCGCCGATCGGGCACCGAGCACGTGTCGCGCGCGCCCCGGCCGAGCCCCCCGCGGGACCGCGCACCGCCCGCGTGCCGCGCGCCCGCCGCGCTCCCGAGAGGCCGCGCGCCGCCGCCTTCCCGGCGCCCCCCGCGCGCTCCCGCCCCGCTCCGTGCTGAGGGCGGGCGCGCGTGCGCGGAGCGGAGGCGCGCATGGCGGCGGGGCTGCGGGAGCCGAGCCCAGGTGGAGTAACGCGCCTCCGGCATTTCCCCCCGGGCCGCCGCGAAGGGGCCCCGGCCGGCGCCTTCCGCCGCCCCCGCCGCGGGGCTGTGGTGCCGAGGGGTGCGACGGGCGCGGGCTGAGGGGCTGAGGCGCCCTCCGCGCTCCTCAGGGCTGGGGCGCGGGGGACGCGTTCCGGGGTCCCTGGCAGGGGCGGGAGCGGCTCCCGCGGCCGGGCTGTGCCCGGGCTGTGCCCGGCAGGGGCAGAGCCCAGTGTGGCGCCCAGGGTCGCTGGAGCGGTGGGCTGTGCTTGGAGTCACTCGGGTTGTGTTTCTCTGCATGTCAAGCGACACACCCACAATAAAGTGCCTGCTAAGCGCAGCGCGCGGTGGACTTAAAAAGAAGCTGTAAGTGAGTTTGGTGTTTTGGGAGAAGGCTGCTTGTGTGAGGACATTCTGTGTGCTTGCGTTGTGCGTAAATTTTTTTTCCTCCACCTTTTTGACAGTCCTTCGTGGCCTCTGGGGAGCAGCTGGGATTTCCCTGAGTGGGGACTCCGGTTTTGGTGACTCCGCTTGTTGGAGCGGGCGGGTGTTGAGTGTTTGCTGTTTCGTGAGACTCTGAAAGCTCATTTATTTCTTTAGCATACTTCAAAGATCTAACGTTGTTTGTCAGCGAAATTGACACAGGTGTATTTTCCAGTTTTTGGTGTTGTCTACAAAAAACTGACTTGAGAAACCTTTTACGTGTGAGTCACCCGATCTTCTCTGTATTCTTAGCAGCTTCTTCCTCCTCTTCCATGATAGAGATAATGCTAAATTTCAAACCTGGTACAGGCTGACAATGCTAATTGTAACTCCTTTCCTGGGGAATATCACTATGCCCTAATTTCCTCCCTGATATGTTTTACTGTAATTCATCCCCTTGTGAATTTGTGCCACTGTGAATGGTAGTAGAGAAATGCCCTCAGAGGGAGCTTTTTCAGACAGCGTATTTTGAATGCTGTAAGCTATGCAGTTATCTAAAGTCTTCTTATAAAACCTCTGCAACGTTTTTCAGAAAACCCAAAAGAGATTGATGGTGAAGCATTCAACTGTAGGTATTTTCTGTTAGGTATAACCGACACCCTGCATACAGTGCTCATGATGGTTATCATGTCTGCCTCTGCTAGCAGTTTGTGTGGTTACTTGCTCTCTTTGTAGAGAGGAGCCAGGGGCAACAATGGCCATAGATTTCCCTTTACTTGAGAAAAGTGCTTCCCAAATGGAAGCAGGGGGAAGGAAATAGACCTCTGGCGTTAAAGTACACTAACCCATGTGTTGGAACCAGGAGTGCTGGATTTGGGGAACAGCCTATAAAGTGGTGGGGGTGGAGTTGTGTTAAAGCTAAAGCTGAGGCATAGAGAACTGCTTGTGTGATTTGAGGATTTAGATCTTGCTCCCACTGTACACTAACATTAAACTTCCACATTTCTCCTTCAGCTGACTGTGAAATGTGTGATACAGTGGTGTTACAGTGGGAATTTTTTGTGGTGGTCACTTAATGCTTATGAAGTGATGCCTACGTGTTATTTACAAGTTCATGACAAAATATCTGTACATATACATAAATATACAAGATTTAACTCTCCTGTCTGTGGAATTGGTCAGCAATATTTATACGACTGTAAGATCTGTTAACTGTGTATATACTTGTACACCTCTGTAGAAGCATATTTCTTTTAAGACAAAAAAGAATAATCTTTATTTGTGGTTGCACACAAGCACTTATGTTAATGAAACCTGGATGGTTAAACCATGAAGTTGATTTTCCAAGTGGTGTATGTGCCAGTGGTTTGCCTGGGTTACAACAGTGATTAGACAAAATCATGGGGCAAAATTTTACCATGGGGATTATTTTAAACACAAATGTAGAACTTCATGTATTTCTGGGCTGCTTTTGAAAGGAAGCTGGATAAATATCACTGTGTATTTACCCTACTGCTGGATTTTCTCCTGAGCTTTGTCATTAACTATTGTTGGATACAGGATGTTGGGCTGGCTGGGGCATTGGTCTGTCCCTACAGAGCTGTCCTTGTGTTCTTTTGTTGGGTTCCAGCATGCTCTGAGTACGTGTCATCAGTATCTCTAGAACAAACTCAGTTTATCTCAAAGAACTAAATGTGCTGCTTTCGCAAAACTGCTGTGGCTTCTTTACATCTTTGAGCTGAGAGGAAATGGTTGAGTGATGATGAAATCTAGTTTTCTGGTTTTTTTTTTTTCATTTGCTGCTAAGATGCTTCAGACATTGTAACTGAAACATCTTATAATGGTTCTCGGATCCAAAGCTCAAAAATATTTGGTAAACATGAGGCAACTTCATTTGGAACTTGGTCTGAAGTGTCATCACTTGAAAATTGAATGGAAAAATAAATCTGCTTTAGATTAAAGTATTAATATGTTGAGCCATATGAGCAGCTTAACTTCTCAATGTTGTTTGTATCAGCAGGATGCTTTATTCAGCTTCAAAAGCCAAGGAGATGTGGATTTACTTTGCCTTTGTCCTTTATACCTTTGTGAAGCAGAATAAATCTGTGCTTTAAGAGTTGTACTGTTCTTTTGAAGTCACTCTCTAGCCTGTTACAGTCTCCTCATAAAAGCTGTAAACACTTGAAATACCACAGCCAAGAAGGTCTGTCTTGAGGAGTTCACTTGCATGGTGTGGTGAAGAAGATACAGCTGGTAGGAGTCATGTGCTAATATAATGCAGCCTGTCTTTAAATAAATACTGAAGGGAAAAATCGTGACCACCCTTCCCCCTCCTTCACCCCAAACTACAGAAGTTTTCTTCTATTCAGTTGGGTATGTTATGTCTGTAGTCTTACATATGTATACTCTTGTTAGGTAGGGGCTAAGTTAATTGTCATTTTGTCCTTTTGCTTGTGAATGTTTGGGATTGGTCGCTGCTATAAAGAGTGTGCTGTGTGCATGAGAGCATTATCCTATGGACGTGGCAATTCACTGTCCATTATTATCTATCTGTTTGAAGGTTTTTAATGGCCAGCTGAGTATCTTCAAGCTTTCTTTAGGATAGGAGGTAGATCTCTGAAGTGCTGGGAGCTCTGTCTTTTTGTCTTTCACTGCGTGATTAATGCCAAATTTTACTTTTCTGGTGTTTTTTTCTGCCCAAAGCATACCACTGTAGACTAGCAATAATAATTTTATATGCTGTCTTATAAGCCTTTAAAACAAATTGATTTACTTTAAGATGTCTGCATGACAGACTTGTATAATGCAAATTCAGTCTGGTGATTATGGAAGAAGGTGACTAATGTATTTTTAAAGCACTGCTGGCATGTGCTTAAATATCAAGTGTTCTCTAGATGTGTGTGGTTGTTACTTCAGTGCTTTTGGACATATTCAGATGAATGTGGTGGGAGGGTGTATGTGTTTTGTATCTGTGTATGCAATGACAAATCAAGCAAATTGTCTCATATAAAAGGCTAAGCTGTACTCCTGGAGCAACATGCTGGAATTTTTCTGCAGTGAGTAATAAAGTGATAAGGAGGCAAGGATTTCTTGAGAACTTTGCTATTATCTTGCAACAGCATTAGAACTTGTAACACTAAATTTGTAAGATCTAAGGGCAATACCTGCAGCAATCTCCTGACAGAAGGCTAAAATGAACTTTTATAACCTTTTCAGGTCACCTTGTAATGGAAGAAGGTGGAGCTGACCATGATATTGCTATGGAAGGATCTAATGATTTGTTCATAGGCAGCTGTAATGGTACAGGAGAGTCAGAACCAAATTATCAGGTTTTTCAGGTGAGATATGAATGCTTTGTCCTTGTAGGTGCTTCCTTTACATCCACTCTGATGAGTTTAAAATATGCTATTTCATCATTGCAGGGTTTTTTTGTTGCCTTTAGAGTAATACATTTTGTCTTTTAAGAATGTACATCCTTCCCTTGGATTCCTGTGCCCTTCAGGTTTGAATTGATAACTATCCAGATGTTACATGTAATGAGAACCTTCAGTAATTATGTCCTGCTACAATGCTGAAGAAAAGCATGCTTTATTTTGTTAACCCTTTAAAAAAAGAGTACTTTATGATGTTTTGAAATAGGAGAGGTTTAAAACAGGTGAAAATGAGGTGACATTACTTAGTGACCAAATGTGACAAATAAAGAGTCCAGGGTCACAAGACACATGTGTATGTAGTGAGGGAGAGGAGTCTTTCATGTCTTTTTTTATCAGATATTGCCAGATCTTCTTATTTGTGGAGATTTCTGTGCATGAATGCTTCTTTGTTTAAATGTTATTCAGGTAGTGATTTACTTGTGTGCACATGGTCTCTGCACAATGTCTTTAACAAAACAGGTGCCATTTGTTTGTTGCTGCTTTTCTGGTAGTTCACACTAGACAGTTTCAACACAGAAGATTTATACCTGCAGAATTTTTAATGAGGTTATTTAGATCAAATCTGACTTTTACATAAAATTTAGAAACTCATTCTTTGATTTGTAGTATATTAATTTTTGTCGCAAAAACATCAGAGTTGTTTGTGTAGTTGCTGCAAGAGATACACCAAATTGCAGCCCTTCTGGCATTGGTCAAGTGACAGCTTGACACTTTATTGTACACAAGGACTGCCTGTTTTTTCCATTATTTTTACATACTTAATGTTTGTGTTGTTGGAGTTTCAACAAGCTTCTACAAATAGTTGTGCCTATGCACTTAAATTTAATGAAAACAGGATGTACTCTAAGACTTCAGTTCTGCAAATATGATAAAGATATATTGTTTTTTTAAGATTTTGAAAATCTGATCCTTGCCTTGTGCTGCACAATTCTTGGCTTTGAATTGAAGGTTGTGTTGCTTGTGTTTCTTCTCTGGTAAAGAATTTTAAAAGTGTTTAGTGATTTTTTTTCTTCATAGCTAAATGCATGTATGGAAAGGCCAAATGTAATAGTATCTAGGATTTCTTCTGAAGTCAAATCAAGTTGGTGAATATTTTACAGTTTTGTTTTTGGTATAAGTCTTCTCAGTTTCTGGGCAGACTTGAGATGCTTTAAAGTGCTAAGTAGTTTCGGGGAGCAGATTTTGAGCAAAGGAGATTTTCTTTTGCCTTAGTAGAGAGACTTAATTCTAAGAAGTGGAAGATGAATGCTTTTCCAGCATGAAAATAGAAAACAAAAGTAGAACTGCTAGTGTTAGCCTCTTGATCCAGAAGGACAAGAGCTCCTCTAAGTATACAGTATAGCACTGGTTTTAAATGTTCTTTTCTCTCTCTTTTTTTTTTAATTTGTTGTTTTTGTTTTGTTTTTTGTTTTTTTCTTTTCTTTGTAGAAGTTGCTACTCAAAGTACATTTTACTGTTTTTCCTCTGTGAAAGCAACTAATGTGCATGGATTCCAGGGATCCATTGTTTGGCCAGAGCGACTCTCCCCCAGCCCTGGCCATCACAGTCCCCCTCTCGGGCAGTCCTCCAGCATCGGCTGTACCGGCGCGGCCTCCCCAGCCACATTCCCACTCTGCAGAGGAGTTGCACTTGGCAGAGCAGCCCAGGCAGCCCCTGTGTGAGCTGCAGCCCCTGGGAGGGCCCAGTGCACCCATGGTGAGTGTGTCTGCAGACGGGGCTGGGGCTGTGCTCACAGGTGAGGGAGCTCTGTGAAGAACTCTCTTACGTGCGGTTTGTTGTAGCAACAGCTGATTCAGACTTTATCTCTAGCAACAAGGTGGAACTTTTCAGTGGTACAGTTCATGCTCCAGTTGCCCTTCTTCAGGTAGGCAAATCCTGTCTGCAGCCATTACTAATTTTATTAAACAACAACTGATGTCTTCTGTCAGTATCTAGCATGGATACTGTAGTGTGATAAGATCTTGTATTTCTACTGCTGCTGCTTTCTCTATATTCCCTGGATAAATCTCTCTGTGTTTTTTGGGAGGAATCAGAACATTAGTAGTAAGCTAAATCATTGTCTCACCTTTTTCCCAGCCCTCAATTAATTTTCTTAAAATGTTGCTTTGTCATTTGTAACATCTATTTAGTAAAAAATGTAACCCAGAGTCCTTTGTAATTATGGAAAAATAGACCATAAAGAGTTGTTCAAGTTTTTCAGAGTCCCAGGTGAATTAACTTGTATTGGTTTTTTAAGCCCTGGACCTTTTCTTCTCTCTGCTTTTGCATGAAATGCTGCCCACAGAGGTCAGTTTCTTAGAAGTCAAGGTCACAATTTTCCTGTTACTATTAGTTCTGCTGGTCATTAATGGAGTTGCAGTGAATCCAGCTATGAATGGCTTTCAGGTGTTTGAGAGCTTTAATAATAGAGTTGTCAGTTTCAAATAAATGTGTCATTCATTGTAGAATCAGGTAAAGTAGTGGGTTGGTTTTTTTATTCCTTAATGGAAGGCCTATTTTAAAAGGGGAAAGTAATTTTAAGAACTTGACAATAAAGTGACAGTTTTCTTATTATGTAAAGTCAAGTAAATATACAGGCCCTAACTCTAAGCAGAAGATTTCTTGTTCTGGTAATAATCAAACCCAGTTGTGCTGCATGATTACCATACAAACTGGAGCCATTCATGCTTCTGTGTGACTGCCTTACAGATGATTGTTGCCAGCCAGTCAGAAAATGGACAGGTGCTGCATGTCATTCCTTCTACCCAGCCAGGAGTGACCCAATTGATTATTCCTCCAGGTCAGCTTCTGGATGTGACCAGCACTCAGGGTGAGTTTAACCTGTGGGACCTGAGGGTTTGTGCTCCTGTGACTAAGCTCATCCTCCATGGTCTTTTTTAAGCACCTTGTTTCCTTTCCGTAATCAGTTATAAGACAAAATATGCAGTGAATCTGCTTTCTGATTGCGAGTCTGGAGCCTCACACAACACATTTTCTGTTGGGCAAAAACCTTATGAAAACTTATGAGAGCTATTATGCTCCCTTTCTGAAGGGTATGTGATGAGTAGATTGACATACCAAGCACAGAGTTTTTTCTTACCTTATTTCCCTTTGATAAGGGTATTTGTGCCATCAGCTGTACTATCAGCTCCAAATTTTTAGTATTTTTTTACTTCAGTGTGAATGAAGTAGTTAATTCCTGTAGTGAAGACAGGCCAGAAGAACATTAAATCCTCTGTTCCAGAGATCACTGATGATGATGTATCTTTTGTAAAGCCAGGAATTAATCACTTATGTAGAAATTCAGTTCCCAGTCAAGGAAAATAAGATGTAACTTTCCATTCATTGGAATGTGTTAGTTGTCATATTTTAAGCATGTGCTGGGATACACAAGTAGAAGCATGAATTTTAAGGTTTTCTCTAGAAAATGGACATACTGAAATCTGAAAGCATTGATTATTTATCTGCAATCCTTGCTGGATGGCAAAACACTGTGTACCAGTTTGCATTCACAGAGTGAGACTGAGAATGAGCTGGTCACATTTTGTTAAACTCTCAGATGTTTTTTAAATTGTTTTTTCATTCTCTCTATAAAATTCTCAAGATGTGAGCACTGGTTAAGTGTTCCTGTGGAATGACAGCTCAGAGGAAGAATAGAGTCCTGGTGCTGGGTGGATAGAAGAAGGATTTGGGATTCAAGTAATGATCTAGCCCTTTTCACTTAGGGTTGCAATATGGTTTCCTGACCTTGCATTGAAAGACTTGCTTCTACCCTAATGATCAACCTTTCCTCCCTCTCCAGCTCTTGCAGGGGTAAAATCAGGTTTGGTGACAGCAGAGTCTTAGATTACTTTAAAGCCGACTGGGAACCTTTAGTTACAAAATAATTGCTGCTATTCTTTGTATGCACTAAGTTGAAACAGTAAATAGTAGTTTTGTATTTACATTTTTCATTCAACATGGGGCTCAGTGTCATAGTATTTGAATATATGTTTTACAACAGTGCTGCAGGTGTCATTTGTGGGGGTTTCTTTGTTTTGTTTTTTTCTAGAGACTTAGTGTGTAAAAGACTCTGTAGAGATTTGGTCTTTAAAAGACAGTTGAGGAGATTTGTCAGCAGTTTACTGTGGAGGTGAAAGAGAAAGGAGAATGGCCTGTCAGCTCCTGAGTTTCACTTGTCTGTATGTGGTGGTAATGTGTGGAATGGTGCAGACTTCAGAGTAGCCTGTACTGTCTTAAGGGCACATTTCTGTAGGAGGAACCAGTGCTTTGAGCCAGAGTGGTGTTAATCCAAGTGCACACTTATGAATCTTCTTATGGAGCTTTGTGTGGATCCATTTCTGTACTGTGTCTATAGCTTACCACTCTCTCTGGGTGAGGGAAAGAAGCTTTCATAACTGAAGGGCAAAAGTCCCTCATCTGAAGAGACCTTGCGTGTTTATGTTGAGACCAAAATATTGAACGTCTGCTTTCACAGTTTTCCATTACGTTTTTGTTTAACTGTACACACAGACTTCAATCTAAGAGCAATTTTTGGCTTGTGGATTGCTCCCTATTACCAAGAAAGGCTAAAACATTTGTTCTAACAGCATGTCAGATTCAATTACAAGAGGCCTGTTTTTCTTGTTTAAGTGTTCTAAGTACAAAGCAGTACAACAGTACAAAGCAGTATCATTACCTCATCTCTTCTTGTTTTAAAAGTAACCAGTATTTGACTTGCAGCTGAACAAAACACTTGTGCAATCCTAGATGGATTCCTGGAAGCAGAGTAACTTGCAAGTTGTTCTGATTATTTGCCTTGTTGTGGAAGGATTCATAAGCAGTAGCACAATTACCAAAGTCCTTAAATATAAGCAGCTTTATCAAGTGTACCTTCATATGTGTGCCAGGAGTTTGAGCACTGATTCACAACGCTTAGACTATGAAATAATCCTCCCTTTGCCCCCCGAAGTAATCCTGGCTAGCTCCGTCGAGGGGGGGGGTCAGGGAGGTTCTGACGACCAAGAAAAAGACCAAAAAGGGCTGCTTCTCCCTCTGGGGTAACGGAGGATGTTTATTTCTGGCTGGCTTCCAGAGTGGAGAAGAGGCCGGGTATCTCTTTCCCAGGCTCTTTCAAACCTCGGGACAGGGGCGGGGAGACATATAACACCAACCAATGGGATAACACTTCAGGGACAGGGAGGGGAGGGGGAAAAACACGTCACAGCTGCAGGGAGGGTTTACACAGAAACTAGGTAACTCCCAGAAATACGCACTACCACAAGACTACTTTATAATCTATAAAACTTCTTTCCTATGTCAAAAGGCTTGTTTTAACAGCACACAAAGTTTAATCATAGCTTTTTTTTCTCCATTCTCCATTCAGTTATAAACCAAGAAGCTGCTTTTTATTTTTTTTTTTTATTATTATTTTTCTTTTTTTTTGTAAAGATATTTCGGAAGAAAAGCGTAGTGATGGGAACCTGCAGACTGTGGTGGTGGCTTCTCTAGCAGACAGTGCAAGCAGTTACATTCTACATCCACAGGCATCTCTTACCATATCGAAAAAAGCAGCCACCAGGTAGGTCAGGGGTTAAATGGATGAGCAGTCACTTCAATTCACTGTTAGCACTGCCTTTTTTTCTTGCAGTTTGTTTTTGCAATGGTTATCACAAAATTACCGTGGAACAGAGGTTATGAATGCACACTGCACTGAATATTTGGAGGACTTGAATGTAGAAACCAGTGGGGCTTTATTCACTGTAAATTATTTTAACAATGAAATAGAACATGAAGAAAATTAACCACAGGTTTTTAAGTCATCTTGATACAATACCCATAGCTTGATCATATGCTCTAGGGTTATACATAATACACTGATTTGATCTTACCTGTAGTTCAGACTAAGTTGTTGCTTTTCTGAATGTCTGTATAGACTTCTATTATATTTTTTTTTTTCAGGGTAGTGGAAGACTCTTTTCCCATCCCTCTTCAGCCATTGCCACTAAATACACCTGCATGGGCACGCCGTCTCAGGAACTGTGAGGTAGGCCACAAAGAATTCTGACTTAATGCTTTATCATCTAGCTCTGAAATAGCATTCCTGTTCCTTGAAAGGAATAATTCATAGCTGTAGAAGCATTCAAGCTTCCTGGTATATAGCACTGGTACTGCTATCACAGTTAAACACATGAAATGCTATGAAATCCCTTTCTATTTTGAGAATTTTAGAATACCTGACCATCAACAGCTCCTGAAGTAAAAGAAGTGCTGCTGAAAACTTGCTACCTTGTAGTGCTGGGAAGAGCCATTGTGTGCCATGTTGGACTTTGCTGTTGAACAGCAGTGCAAACTTTGTTGACTTCTGCAACTGTTCATGTGGTTTATGTTACCACATAGACATCAAAATGCATGTGATTGGCCAGTGTCAAGTCTGGGACTTTACGCACCCTAATATCAATATTTCACTAAGGATTCATATTTTGGATATTCTTGCTGATTTTTTTTTTTTTTTTTTTGTCCCAGCAAGTTAGGTTACTTGTGCTTGTTTTCTCTTTAGTTAAAAAATACTCTGTCTTTATGTTCTGTGGTGGCTTTTGACCTAAATGGAACTCTTCCTTTTTTGGATTTTGTTAGATGTTTGCAGAACTGTCCTGATGACTAGGATTCTATCAGTAGCTAGAATGCATCATAAGTCCCTTGACAGGAAGGGAGGGGAGACAAGAAGTTTCTTGAGAGATCAACTACCCCTTCCTCCTGCTGCCAGATTCTTCCTGATAGATGATGATTTTATTTTTTCTTAATATTTTTCATAAGGAAAAATCAAACTTTGTAGCTGCCTAATCTCTTTAGATATCTCTACCACTTCTTTTTTTTTTTCTTCCTATTGGCTTGTCCACTGATAACTAGAAGCTGCAGTTTGAGGGACATAGAAATTGAATTTCATTCTGTATCTGCTTAGAAACAATTTTTAAATTAAATATATTCATCTATTCCTTTTGTGTTATGCCATTTATTTAATACAAATAGTACCACCCACTCTTACATCCACATAAATGTTAACAAGTCAGAAAATTAATAGCATGAATGGTGGAATTAATAGCTCTTCCATGGTGGAGATACAATTTTTATAGAATCAGTCACTTAATTTAGTTGGCCAGTTAGTTCATAGAGTTCACTGTGTTTTTAGCACTGTGTGGTACATTCTTTCCTGTCTTAACATCCATGTGGCTTACCTGAATCATTTCTGATTGGTATCATATTACTGGAGGACTTAGGATCTGCTTTGTCTCTCTGTTACAATAAATTTCACCTGCTGTATTTAAAATTCACAGTGGCATTTATAGAAAAATTCTTATTTTTAAAGAAAAGGAAATAGAAATAATTTCTTTTTAATTATGTTCTGAGGACACAAACATCTCCCTCTGCTGCTCAGCAGAACTGTTGCCTGTATGCATTAATCCTCCCTGATCCTCCGGAGAGTGCTAGGATGTATTATGCTGTTTTTTGGGGGGCACACACTAGAGAGATTGGGATTTTGAGGCGTCATTTATCTTTCAGGTGTCAAATATTTTGTTACTATTAACAGAACTGAAGGGTCCTGCCGAAATTTGGAGATCCAGTTTGGAGAGATGCTAGTAAATATGTCAGCTCACAACTCCACTCTTTCTGTTGTCTGCCAGAATTGAAACAAAACAGTGTTGTGGTGTCTGTGACTCGCGCAAGGTGTCAGGAGGTGCTCCAAAGGGCAGTGACTCCTTTGGCAATTGGTACTGTGGGAAAACACAGACCAGTAAAAGCTGACTGCCTTGAAATGTTCAGCTTACATTTGCTGTGTCTGGACTGCAAAATGCCTCTGGTACCCTGCTGCTGTGAGTTTCCTCAAGGAAAACTGCAGTCTTGGTGTGTGTACTTTTAGGGTAAGCTTTTATGTACTTTGCTGAGGCAAGGCCAGGGGAGAAAGAAGGAATTGCACAATTTTTGGCTTGAACCTTGGAGTTAAAGGGCTGGAGAGTATGTAATTACTTCAAGGTAATTACATTGTTAGAGAGTTAATTTTAAAACAGTTCCTTTCAGTAACTTACATTTAGTTTTCAGTGGTCTGATCAGAATGCATTTCCTGCATGTATCAGCCTACTGAAATAAAATGTAATTGAAAACTGCATTAATTAAATGTACAAAATTATTTGTCTGAAGAATGCAGTCTCATTTATCCATTTTTTCCTACTTCTGAAGCCTGTTGAAAGCAGGGATATTATATGCTGTATGGTTTTCTTCTTGTCCTCCTCCTTCCCTTCCATCAATTTATGGAAAATGATCTAACTTATACAAAAATAAAGCCAGAATAGGAGAGACTACCCTAACATTTTTTGCTACTCTTCTGGCACAACAGTTTTATCAGTCTTCTCATCTGTCTAGAATAAGGTCAATGACCTATATTTAGTGACATATATAAGGTATGGGAAAAAAAACCCAGCTGGTTTTGCAGTATTTATTATGTGCAGTGGTGCTGTAATCCCTCTTCTGAAAGGCAGCATCCCAGGTTTATGGAAAGAAAGAAGCACTTCTCAGGTCACTTTGCTTCTGAATTTTTCAGATCAAGTTTTGTTCAGAAGTATTATTTATAACTTCTAGTTAAATAATTGCCAATGTCTCTTGCTCTGTGTGAGTGCAGCCTGTGCAGACTTGGTTAGGTGCTGTAGCAGTGCCTGCAGAGCAGTGAGCTCTGAGGTGTGAACAGCTCATGTCTCAGTGACTCACACCCAGTGCACACACAACCCTCTGTGTCTGGCCCTGCACTAGCAGCAGCATTGCGCTGGCCCAGTTCATTCACAAGCTCTTAACTGGTTCATTGTTGACTTGCTAACCACAGACATTCTGTTTTGCTTAGATGAATGTGAGGTAGGTTTTACGCAGTTATTCCTAAGTTATCTGTGTGATAATTTTGGAAAGACACTGTTGCTCTTTTGCTGTCAGTATTATTTAAATGCTGTTCTGTCACTGCAGGTGGCAAAACAAATCTAACAGACCTTAGTACTCATTCACTATGTGTCTGTCCCAGCTTTAAGACTAAGCTGGCAAACTACTCTGGCTGTTACAGCTGGTTGGCCAGCCTGACCCTGAGCTGCACATGAGCAGACGCAAGTGTTTCATTCTGAGTTTGGATGAAGACTTCTTCCCTGTCCCAGTAATTTTGTTGCTTAATGGCTGGTCTTTGCAGACCAGCACTAAACCAACTGTGTTGGCACTGAGTAGCTGGATAACTACTTTGAGTCAAGTTAGATGCAGTTTTTGTGGAATTGCCCAGACATTAGCAGAGTTCATTGAAACCATCATCATTTTGTGCATGGCAAATCTGGTATAGCATGTTTCTGTGTAATGCTGAGTATCAAGAGTGCCTCGAAGGTTGGGAGGGATGCTGTGTGACATTCAGTTCAGTTAGTGCACTAAGTAGGTGAGACAGTTACTGCTGGTATGGGCAGGTGCATTCTGCTCCAGCTCAGTGCAGCATGTGTTGCAGTAGATGCAGAGACAATTATTAGTGATTCAGAGATTTCTCTATAGCAGGCAAGTGAAAAACTTCATCTAATACTAATTTGTCTAGTCAGTGACTGCAACTGAAGTGTGTGTTGGGGGTAAAGCACAGGAGTGAAGTTGTCCTCTGGAAACAGAGTTGGCAGCGACTGTAACCTTTTCAGTGATTCTTGATGTTCTTAGGGTCTTGGATGGCTGACAAACTCCTAACCTCACTGGGGACTGCTCTTCTATTAGATCCTGTGATAAATCTCTTTATGAGGATACTACTGGGGGGACAAAAAACAAGGAATGCCAAAAACCTGGGCCTATGTTCTCACCTGCCGGAGTCCCTGACTGCTTTTATTTTCTTGTGTAATGTTCAGCAATCAGATGGGTGAATAATCCTATTATTTCCCATCCTTTCCATGCAGAGAATTGGGGACTCGTACCGCGGCTATTGTGTGAGCGAGACAGAGTTAGAGAGCATTCTCACGCTACACAAGCAGCAAACACAGAGTGTGTGGGGGACGCGCCAGTCTCCAAGCCCAGCCAAACCCGCCACACGGTTGATGTGGAAATCTCAGTATGTCCCATATGATGGGATCCCCTTTGTCAATGCAGGTAACTAACTTTTATTTTAATAACTACTTTCAGAATTTCAACATCAGCTCCCAACTGGCCACAAAGAAGAAGATTCTGTATGTTGTTCCTTAGTTTTGATAAGGTCAAGACACAAACATAAAAAAAGGAGCAGCTTGCAGGCTGCTGTGAGAGTCTGAAGGAACTTGTTTCCTTTTTTATGTTTTGCTGTGATTATTCCCTTTTGTCCTTTAGAGATTAGCTAAGTACTGTTTGATGGGGGTTCTTGTGATGAGGGCTTTAGGTGGAGGTCCCATCTGCTCTATTAGGACTTGAAAGTTTTCGTAAGGGTAAGAGCTTGTTCGATTATTCTTGCCTAACTTGCAGATCTTTAGAAGAGTTTGTTCCACAGGAGTCAATAAACTCTTTCAATTACAAACATTAAAGTAATAAAGAAATAAATTCAAAACACCAAACAAGCAATCTAAACATCTACACACCTCAGCAGAGAGATTTTTGATGTCTGGGGTTCTTTTTGAAATGCACATGCAGACTTCACAGCTTGGTAATTACATATTTAGCTCATGCACAACATACATGGAATTACCAAGAGTTTAATTTGGACATAAAATGAACGGGCTTTACTTGCTACATAGAGAAAATGAGTGACAGGAGTGTAGGTTATGTTTGGGGTTTTTTCCCTGAAAGTTGCTGAAAAAGGGAAATGTTAGCACCATTTTTAAAGCTTCAGCCATAAACTGTGAGATAAAAGAAAACTAAGAATAAAATCAAAGCAACTTGCCCTTTTTTCCCCAGCGTGAGACATCTTTAATTTCATCTAAATGATTTGGTATCTTATGGAAACAAATTATGTTGCTGTTACAAAGTTTCTGGGTATATCACTTGTGGCATAGGCAGCTCCTTGCCTGTGTACTAGAGTACATGAAGTATAAATAAAAGATAACTAAATGTGATGTGGAAGAAATTTGGAAGATGTTCCTTTCTTGACCACTTTAATGCTTTGCTTGTCAATCCCTTTTGTTAGAGGTCTGACTGGAAGAAGTCACTTAGTTTGAGTTTAGAGCAAAGCAATATTTGTTTGAGCCTGTCTGGTTTTGTGTGGGTGTGCTGTGCTGAAACTGTGTTATTTAGCAGTTAAGATTTCTGAACTACAAGGCTGAGCTTTTATGGGACAGCATGGTCTGTTTTTGATTTAAGCCAGGAGGGTGGAAATGGCTGCTGACCTTGTCTCATGGTTTGACCCCAGCTGGAAATCACCACAGAGCTGCTCACTCATTCCCCCAGTGGGATGGGGGAGAGAATCAGGAAGGTGAAAGTGAGAAAACTCATGGGCTGAGATAGGAGTTGTTTAAAAGATAAGGGAAATTCCACACGCACAAGCAAAGCAAAGTAAGGAATTCATTCCCCTTCCCATCCCCAGGACAGCAAGACACCATCATTTGTAACAGTTACTTAGGAAGACAAACACTGTAACTTTCAATGTGCCTCCCCCCTTCTTCCTACTTCCCACAGCTCTGTATGCTGCACATGATGCCATATGACATGGAATATGGCTTTGGTCATTTTGGGACAGCTGTCCCAGCTGTGTCCCCTTCCAGTTTCTTGTGTCCCTCAGCCTCCTCATTGGTGGGGTGGGGTTAGAGGCAGAAAAGACCTTGACTCTGTGTAAGCCCTGCTCTGCAGTAACTAAACATCCCCGTGTTAGCAGCACAACACAGCCTCGCACTGGCTACTGTGAAGAAAGTTAACTCTATCCCAGCCAAAACCATCACACTTTTGATTTCAGCTGGAGATTTTCTTAGTTGTTTTGGGGGTTCTGCTTTTTATGTTTATTACCAGTATTTTGCTCCTTTGGTAGCTTGCAAGACCTCTCATCTTGTAAAGTATTATTGGCACTCACCAGAATGAAGTCCAATTCTTTGCCTTCTCATATGCTGAGGAGTGCTGTGATGTGTAATAAGTTTGAGAAATGGTTTAAAGTGCTCATCTTACATGCTGGGAGAGAAGTGTTTGCATTGTATTTGCTTGCTATACCAGAGGGTTCTGCCTTCTCAAGAGTCTGAAGGCAAACATATATAACTGCTTCAGAACTCTCTGAATCTCTTCTATAGTTAGTATTTCACTGTAATAAATTCAGTGATTGCTTGAACAGAGTGCATTACTTTCTGTTTCCAGGAAGCAGAGCCATTGTAATGGAGTGCCAGTATGGGCCGAGGAGGAAAGGATTTCAGCCCAAAAAATCTGGTGAGCAGGAAAGCACCTCTGGCCAGCTGTACAAAGCTACTTGTCCAGCAAGGTAAGAATTATAGATAAAGCTGTAAGAGTGACTGAGCATTCTAAGAAAGCATTCTCTCTGGGAGCCATGACAAAGCACTGGTTCGGGGTGGTAGCTCATATCCACTGTCACTCTTAGCTTTATCTCCTTGATAGGTTGAGGTTGATACTCATTTAGAAGTAAGGAGGAGATGCTGTCCTGTTTGAATAAGGCTGAAATTTGATGTGCAAGGTAGCAGTACATCACTCTGCAAAATACAAGTGGGATTCATTATCTACCTGAGCTTTCACAAATTATTGTGGTGTCCTTTAGTGACTATTTCTGCTCCTAAAACTTTGTCATCTTATATGTTGTTTCTTCTTCAGGCTTTTAATTGCACTGATATCAGTCAATCATCCTAGTTTAGCACATCCTGTGTGCTGAAGGAGTTACAGTTTTTCCTGTTCACTGGGGATTTTCTCCTTCTTCAACACTAATGGTTTTTTTCCTCACCCTTGAACATTCTACTGGGTGCTTGTCCAGTTTTTACTGAGCTTAGAGTTTGTCTGATGAATAGTTGCAGCCAGGTCTGTAGGTGCTCGATTCTGCATAGCTGGGTGAACTGCAGCACGATTGGTGTTGTGCTTTTACTATTCTGAGGGACAAGGGCTTTTATTGAGGAGTAAAATCACTCTGCCTGAGTGCTTCCAGCTCAGAACAGAAGTGTGTCTGTCTGCATCCATATCTATTAATGTATCCTTAAGAATTTTACAGTTCTTTTAGAGACTTCTCACACTCTACATCACTCTGCTTGAACTTTTTCTATATTAATGCCTGATATGAAATAAGTGGGATTTTTGCCTTTCCCTTCCCAAGGATAAAGTATACTGATGGAGAATTTTTTTTATTCCTCCTTGGAAGGATCTATATTAAAAAGGTTCAAAAGTTTCCAGAATACAGGGTTCCTACTGACCCTAAAATTGACAAGAAAATCATAAGAATGGAGCAGGAGAAAGCATTCAACATGCTGAAGAAGAACTTGATAGATGCTGGTGGTGTCCTCAGGTGAAACTTCCACTTTTTTCTTTATTTTCACATATGAAATGGAAAAGAGCAGTATTTTACTTGGTCTTTTTGGTTTTGTTTTTTTTTTTTTTACTTGGTCACTTATTAATAGTAAAAAAATCCACAATGTCAGTAAGACAGTAAGACTTCTATGGCACTGAAGTATTAATTTGGTAAATATGTTAAACACTAAGCTATGGAATTCTAGTAGGTGTTTCCATGCAGGGTATCGATAGAGATAGTTGTACTGTTTTAGGTTTCATATAGTTCATTTTGAATTGAAAGGTGTGAGAGGGCCCTGAGTTCTGAAAGACATCTTGTTGCTCAGGGGCTGTAAGGACTTATCACACTGAGTAGGTTGTTGATAGTTGTCATACTGTTCCCCCAAGACACTAATTTTTTGCCTTTGCTTGAGAATTGTGTGTACAAACTCTCTCCTCCTTGCTAGGTGGTATGTACAGTTACCTACTCAGCAAGCCCACCAATATCATGAAATGGAAACTTCCTGCCTCCCTCCTTCACCATCCCATCTTTCTATGTCTTCTCCTGAGGACGAGGAGGAAGTCATTAGAGATGAGAACAGTACTCTGCCTTCTCGACTTCATCCTCAAGTGGCAGACAAGATCCGAGAACTGGTGTCTCAGGGAATAGAGCAGGTCTATGCAGTGAGGAAGCAACTAAGGTAAAGAACTGTCTGCAGTGCTCTCAGTCTATAGTGCTATATCTACTTTTGTATTCAATTAATTTGGTTTGCAGCTAAAGGGCAGTGCTGGTGCATTACTGAATGTAATCCTCAGATGTCATGAGTCTGTTTTTACCAGCTTTTGACATCCTTTCATATCGTTGTAGATAGCCACTAAGAGCTGCTGTACTCTTTGATGTTGTAGCAGATGCACAAAGAACTGGCTCAGAAGATCATCTAGCTTGCTTTTGTCTTGTCATTGCAACAAGGGAAGGGAGAAGATTGCAGTGTCTCTTTACAGCGGGAAATAGCGGAATATATTTAGGTATGGTATTAAATGTCCTTTTACATATGACAGGAAGTATGTGGAAAGAGAATTGTTCACACCTGATGAAGTGCCAGAAAGACATAACCTGTCCTTCTTCCCCACTGTGAATGACATCAAGAACCACATTCATGAAGTGCAGAAGTCCCTAAGAAATGGAGAGATGGTGTATAATTCAGAAAGTATCCCAGCAACGGTATGTTGGCTTTTGTGTATCTTTTTGATTTTTGGAGTTAAATACTGGAAATCTTAATTTTTACCACTTAGCTGTATTTCATCCAAAATTCTCTGTGACTTTGTATTTCCAGCAGCAATATTTTCAGTGGAATCTCTGGCTGAGCAAGATTGGATTAAATGTGTATAAAACCTTCTGACCATATTCAGTATTTATCTCATCAGCATTAGACTGCTGATAGTTGATTGACAAATTACACAGTATTAGCACTTCTTGATGACTGCATGGACTGGAAGACATTGGTGTAGAAAAACTTACATGTGACATAAAATTTTATTCATGGTTTTGTCACTGTCTATGTTTAGAAGTTCTTACTGCTTTTCTGTAGCCGAAAAAAATGGGGATGAAGTCTCAGATGCAGTCTAGATTAGGACTTAAACATTTTGAATGTATAAATAGTAATAAATGCACTTTATAGTAAGTGCAGTGAGCTTGGAGTTGAATTTTCCAAATGCTCAGTAACTCTTAAATCTTGTTCCTTAATTTTCTTCCATGTATTGAGTAATAAAGGGTACACAGTGACCCTGGTTTTGAGACTAAGAAATGGCTGATTTAAAATCAGCTTTGACAAAGAGTACTGTTAAATCATGCTGTGTCATTAAGCTTTTCCCTCTCCCTACACTGATACAGCCCAGGTGAGTGAGTGTGCTTGTTAGTTAGCCAATTGGTTTGACTATTTCCTATTTTAAAGTCATTAAACTGTCATGAACAGATAAAGCAGATAACCTTCCTCATACGCAGTGCATGTTTAAAAATCTTTTACAGTACTTTTTTTTTGTGAATCAAGCGGTCCTAAAATGCGTAATTATGAAAAAGTAAGAAAATGTAGTTTTAGATGCTGTTTTCTTATATTTCTTATATTATGTGTTGAGCCTGTGTTCCTGTAGACAAGCTTGCACCCTTTCTGAGAACTGAGTTCTTTTTCCTTTCAGCTGCAATGGACCACAGACAGTGGGAATGTCCTCACAGAAACAGTGACTGTTGCATTTGCCTCACCACCTTCAGATGGTAGGACTGCATGTATAACCAGTCTGTCTCCAAATGAGTTTTATTAGCTATGTCACAGAAGTTCAGTTTCTTTACAGGGAGGTTGCTGTCATGTCCTGTCACTCAGGTGAACTTAAGAAGGATTATTTTGCTATAACTATTTCAGTTAACTTTTTTTTTCCTATTTGACTGCATATGTGGAAAAAATATGCATAGTCATGATGTTCTTGGCAGAAGTATTAAAATTATAAATTTGGCTTTTCTTTAGCATCTTCAAACAAAAAAAAAATTTAATAGCATGGTTTAATAGCATGTCTGGAAAGAACATTTTATCTTGGATGAAGGTGCTAATAATACCTGTTTAGAGAGAATTAAGTTACTACTGAACAGATATGTCTGCCAGGGGACACAGTACTCAGGATCCAGCAGGATATTTGATAGTTCCAGGTGGTTTCTGCTTCACATGTTCAAACATTTTGCTGAAAAGGACTTCATTGCACATTGAGACACTCCTGCTTCTCAGAAGTCATTGGCCTGATGAATTCCAGTGCCCGGATCAGGCACTGAACAGCAAGCATTGTATTTCTGTTATTGGAACTGAGAGCAATATTTTCCATTTTTCCTTGATGCTTAGAACAGAACTAGAAACACGAGTGTTAAGTGGTAGCAAGGCTGAGAGATGTGTTTCTTCAGATCTTTGTGATGTAACTTCTTTACTAATGTGGCACCCAAGTATCATCTCTTCCCAGTAATTGTTGAGCCACAATGTGATAAACTTCTTCCCAGTCTGCTGGAAAACTAGAGTGTAGATATGATATATTTTTATATAATCTTACTTTTATGCATTCTTGGTCAAAGGACTGGTTTTTTTGAAGATGTTATGCTGTTTTTCCATTGTTGAAAGTGGGTTTCTACTACTATTACTTCAACTTCAAAACATGTACTAAGACAAAATACAGGTGTTTGTAACTAGATCTACTTGCTCCCCACATAGATAGAATTACACATAGGCTAAGATGTTCTGTTGCATTATAGTGGCTGGTAATAAATTTAAAATTAGATTATTCTTCCCTTCCCATCCTTGTTTCAAGAATGTTTTGTCTAGTGTGACACCAGAAGAACCTTTCCTCATGTTTGTTGATGTTTTCCCCATCCTTTGTTTAATAGGTTTGATGTGAAACTCATCAGAATTATCTCTGGCTTTTAGCAGGGATATGATTGAAGCGAGGTGGAAAAGCCTAATTGTTTGCACAGGTTTAGATCATGCTGCAGACTTTGCAGATGTTTTTAACCTCAGCAGCAGAGCCAGCTGGTTTCCCCATTTAATCAAAATGTGGTGATTTGGTACATTTTGTTCTAGACAGCTGGTGGAGAAGTCTGCAGGGACCAAACGGGTACTGCCACAGATGTCCTGTTCAGGATTTACTTGTGTCAACAGTTATCCTGTGGTTCTTGCCTGAAGAAGTCCTGATGTGTTTGTGTCCCTTTCCCCTTAGGTCAGGGAGTGACGTGGGCCAATTGCTTATTTGTTGTAGCAGGAAATATAAACCCTCAGGGGTTTGGCTCACTGCATGAGTTCTCAACAACTTGGTGAACCTGATTTATGTGAATCAGTTCCATGTACACCAGTGCATTTACTGTTAAAAAAAGGCAAAGGTTGGACACTGTTTCTTTTGGGATTTTTTAACTTATTTTGGTGGCTGCTGCTGCAATGGATTAATTTGAACTGAAAATTGTTAGGTATGCTTGATGCTTTTAGGCAAGAATTACAGTGTTTTACAATTGTGAGAGAAGAAGAGGTTAATTTTTAGACTCAGCTTGAACAGTGTCTCTCTTTTTTAAGGAAGTCTTGTTTTATAGGAAAAAAAGAAATTTGCAACGTGAACAGACTTACTGTGCTTAAGCTTGCATGCCTATGAGTATTGCCATTACTGTGTTTTTATGGAGAGACACAGAATAGTTGTGCCTTCAACAGCTGTGGTAGAGCTCAGCAGGGATGACTTTTATACGAACTGAGTGCTGGAGAACACTCAGAAAGAGACCAATTCTTGCTTTATTTGTTTTACACAGATAATCTTTTAAGACAAAGTAGCCTATCAAATGTGTAAACATCCACCCAGTGACACACTGAATTTTACAGGAAGCAAAAGTATGGGTTTTGTTTCATTTTCTGCACACGTGAACCAGCTCAGTGAATATAAGCAGAAACTCTAATTGCAGCATGTCTCATCTCCCCTTATATGTGTTTGTACACATTTCAACACGTTTATAATTGTATTACAAAAAAGAAGTCTGACTTCCTAAAAATGAACTTTCATTAATGTTTGCGAAGTGGTAGCAAGGGACAACAGCATTGACTTTTTAGACTATTCTTTGTATAAATATTTTTTTTAAATTTCAGCTTTTGCCAAATGGAGACAACTGTACATTTAAGAAATCAGGCAGTAACAGAACTTGTTTGTGCAGAACTCCCTATCTCCATGTGATATAACTTCCTTTATAGCAAGTAGAGGAGGAGTTGAACTATTACCTTTTTTCCCAGGTATTGCTGTAGAATACACCCCAGGGAGAGAGCTACTATCTCTTCCTTCATGTGAATATTCACATATGCATATGTGATCTCTGTATAATATTCAAAAGAGTCTAAATATTTGAAGTACTTGTGTTCAAGATTCACAGATTTGTATGTATCTTCCAATCAGTTACAGCAGTTAAGAGTCTGCAGATCATTATATATGTTGAAAAATCTACCTCCACTCAGATTGCTGGAAGCTTTTCCAATGATTTTCTGGTAGAAAATGTTTTGCAATTGACCATTCTCAATTTTTTTTACATTCACCAGATTAATCTGCATTCACAGGGCAAGTTCCTCTTTTACCTCCATAAAAGTGGAACTGAGAAATAAGATGAGCAATGTCTGCTTGTATAAAGCTTAACCAAAATGTTCTGGGTGTCTCCAACAGGAAATGGAATGATCTCATGAGAAGTTTTCTTGCAGAAATTGTTATAAGTGAATCTCAGTTTTCACAAAACTTCAGGAAATGAAGTCCATCATTCTTGCATTAAATAAGAATTTTGAGGATATGATATCATTTGTAGGCTGAAAGGCCTCCAGATAAATGGACTTTGGATGATATTGCATAGAAGTTATACTGATTTCACAAAGATGGGAAGGGAGTGGTGAAACATAGAAAATTTCCTGTGTAGATTTTTATTTTGAAAGGCAACCTTTTCTTTTGATACCTGTGTGTTTGTAAGTCCTTGCTGAGGTATAGATATCTTAAATTATTTGCCGCTTTGTTAGAAGTGTTTCAGCTTTTATGTTATAACTACAAATTCAAAGGACAATGTAGGGTGCTCTCAGGAACAGAGTTATTGGTGCCTCTGGTTTTTGCTCTGTACAGATACATGCAGACTTCCTGCAGTATTGCCTTTGTCACACCAAGTCTTCTTTCTTTAGTCCAAGTTCTGCAAAGAGAACTGCATCTATGTATGTATATATACATCTTCTGTATATCTGTAATTGAGATTGAAGGGAGTTTGGTTCACAGGGAAGGCTTTTATTAAACAGAAGAGATTTTTCATAACTGTCTGCTTCTTCACTTTGGTACCATAGGGATCTCAGGAGTGGAGTCAGTCATCACCAAAGCAGAATCCAACCAGAGTGGGGAGTCCTTGATACCTGAAACATCTCAGCTGTTGTCTTCACTCTCTTCACTTCAGCCCAAGATATTTGCACAACTTCAGGTACAGCCAAGTAATTTACAGAACATCAAACATGCTGTGCTGGAAGTGCTGAAGGCAAGCTGAGAACAGCAAGTTCCCTCTCAGCTGATCCAAATCGTAGCTGGGAAACACAGACTTTGAAGTAGCTGTCAGCTCTTACTCTGGCTGCTCTTGCACGTCACATTTAGCATATAGCTGTGGTGCAGGGGATCCCACTACTATCTTTTGACACATTGAAGTTAGGGTCTCTTGTGAAGTTTTCTCTTGAAAACCAAGAGGATAAAGGCAGTGGGTTTCTACCTCAAACCAACTACCTATTCATTTTCCACACGCTCCAGTCATTTCATAATGAAAATGCTGCAAAACTGCAGGGAGATAAGACAGTCTTGTTTATTCCTTTTAAATCCTTTGCCAGCCTCTTAAGAAAATATCTTAAAATCCTGAAACTGTTCCTAGCTCAGAGCTGTAAACTTGCAGGTTGAAAGGCTGAAGAGGGAGGGATAAGAATGTTATGGTAAAAGAGCTTCTAAAGCTCATCTCCCTTCAAAGCTGCCTCTCTTATCCTTCTTACTTAACTACTTTGAAAATGTGCCTTCATATTTCCTGAACCCAAATGAAATGCATGATCTTTTCCCTAGAAATACAATTTGTAGCAAGATTCTGTTCTATTTGCTGTTTCCTGTCTTTCTGCAGAAACCTGGTGAAGCCTGGCTCCACCTCATATAATTTTATTTTATGCAGTGTGCTTAGCTTGTAGTACCTGCCTCTTGTGGGAATGAACAGTACTGGGGAATGATCTGAAACTGAATGTCAATCCAAAATTAGATCTTTATGGTTCTAAGCAGTCTTCTAAATGCTGCTGGATTCCATTGTCCTAATTGTTTTGAAGTATATTTTGAGCCTAGAGTTGCTGGGATTGAGTGTTCAGAAGAGTTAATGTGTAGGAAGTCAGAAGCTATCTAGACAATACATGGTGTTAAATGCAAACTCCTTCTGCTATAAATACTGTTATGTTGGTACTTCTGCCTTCTCTTTCACAGGGATTACAGCTGCAGTCAACATGTACCTCGACAAATGGATCAACAGCCCTGCTAGCTGTAAATAACCATTCCCCTCCCAGCCCTTTGAGTCTCCTGGATTCCCTGGGGAATGCAATAAGCAGCCGTTCTCTAGCACTCAGTCAGAGCCACAGTCTGCAAGCAAGTGCTGGCCTAACACAGGACAGTGCTGCTGTGCCTGCTTTTGGGGCTCTGCCTGGCCCTGATCAGAGTCTGGTTGCCGTGGGCCAGCTGGTACCAGCTGAAGGGGTGGATGACTCCAGAAGCCTGGAAGGAGGAGAGCATCAGATTCTCTTGGGAGATGTGCAGACTATTCCAGTACAGATTGTGGACAGCCAGCCAGCACTTAGTAAGTTGCAGTTTTCTCAATAATATGTGAATATTTGTTCACATATTATTTTGTTCTGTGTGTCTTGAAGAAAGGAGACAAATGTGTTGATAGTGGGAAACTCCAAGACAAACTTCTTTCAGCCAATTCTAATTAGTTTTTTTATTTTTCCATGGAAAAGAGGAAAGACGTTTTGTGTGAAAGTGATTTTATATCTCCAAACATTTTATTATTTTTTATAAATAGGTTTAAATATTTTTATTTGAGGGGAGCCTTACTGAAGTAAGTTTATGTCAACTTGCAGAGTTTTAGAGCACAGTAGGTGACATAACTAACTGGCTATCAAGCTAAAAAGCAGTAAACTTCATATATACCTTAACTGTTAGCTTGAGTTACTGAAATATTTTTCTTTTAAATGCACAGTTATTGGGGCTGAAGCATTGTCAATGGAGTTTGAACTTCAGTGTTTGATTTTTGTTTTGTTTTTAAGCTGAAGAAAATACAGAGGGTGTTGTTACCTGTGTGAGCCAAGTTAAACAAGAGCCAAGAGAAAAAGCATTGTCTATGGAGACAGATAAAATCAGAGACTGCCACAGTTCCTCACCATAGTTCTTCACCTTCACCTGAAGCCTGGAAGGATTTTTCAAATTGGAGAACTCTAAATGTCTTGGAAGGAAAGGCAGGTGCTCTCAAAGTACTGCCAAAATTTTTTAATTGTATTATGACATTTGGACTAAGCGTTTTTTAGAGTAGTTATGACAGAAAGCTGTTTTGGTTTGACTGATGTGGCTCACTGCCAACTCCAGGTCATTCAGTTGCCCCATGAAACACCACCTCTCTCTTCTGTTTCAAGTTTTGAGTAATTTGGATTCTATCCAAATGGCCTATTTTGTTCATTGTTTCTGAAGGTCTTCCACAATTTAATTCCTTAGCTTTAGAATGTGGATCACAATGCTGGGTTTGCATTTTCTTCTTGAGACCCTTGACTCTTATTGCACTACAGAGACCATAGAATCTGTCAGCTCCAAGATCACAGAATCCAACAGCAAAGCGATCAGTATGACAATGGTTTTGTGACAAAAGGAAGGTCCAGGTTGCTAAACTTCAAAGTGATAAAGGACATGGATGCTTAAGAAAATGCAGCTTTGACCTGATCATAATGTTAATGGTGTGAAGATCAAGGAGAGGAGAAAGGTGAGGTTGCCAGGTGAACATAAAGTTGTATGATAAAGCAAAGTGTATGAATTCTAATGGTGAATTTTTTTGACTTTGACATCTTTGAACTTAAGTTCTGGCTTTATAATGAGGTTCATTGATGCATGCAGCCTTCCTTTGCAGTGCTACTGTATTTGCAGTTGGTCATAACAACTAAATGCAGGAGTCTTTCTCATGGAAAATGATTGATGCTGCCATTTCAGCTTATCTACCTCTTGCTTTGTGCGCTTAAAGCTATCAGCTCAGACAAATGTGATTTAATCTGCTGCTGTTTGTGATGTAGGGCTTGTGCATACATTCCTAACAAAGAAAAGCCCAAGAAAACAAAGGAAGTAATCAAAGCAATGTCCAAGTGTTCTTCACCTTAACATTCAGAAAACAAACTCACCTTTCTCAATAGTGACATATTCTAAGACTTAAGTGGTCCATACAATTAAAATATAATTACCATGAATCTTTAGAAAATTGAATGTGTTAAAAATTATTGTTTAGTAATATTTGAGTTAAAGCCATAGTAAGTGACAAAGCAATTACTGAGCTGTGTAATCTGTGACAGCTGTTTCCTTAAGAAAAAAATCACAGCTACAAATAACTTGGAATCATTTTAAAGCTGTAAATGAAATGAAACTGATGCCAACATAGATATCAAGTTAAGAAATTGCATTTTTTGCAATTCAGATGTTGAATTATTAAAGCAAAATTCAGAGTAGTTTGTATACAGCAATGGGAGCCTTTCTATTATTAGTTCCTACTAAGTAGTTGAGAACTTGATCATAAAATAGGGGGTTTTTTTCTGCATGCTGTGGAAGAATTCAGTGTGAGGATTTTTCTCTTTTTTGGACTTGAAAACAAACCAACAAAGAACCCCAGAAAAACTATTTCATTTATGTAGAGAAGAAAGTGTTGCGAATATTATATGAACCAAAATATTGACATTTTAAAATTGTTACTTTACCTTACATTCAAGCATTCACAAACATCTTCTAAGCAATGGCCATTTAATTTTATTTTTTTTTTCATTTTCTTTTGAGTATTTAAAACTAAAACTTTTGAAAGCCTTACATTGAACTTGTGTTCCAAATGCCTTTATGTGCAAAATCTGTTAGGTGCTATATCATAGTCTTAATATATATTAACTTCTCTGAGGTTAACTAGCATTGTAAACATTATTTGTTTAAAGCTAATTTTTATGGGTTAGGTCCCATTAGGATTTTCCAACAGGATCATGCTCTTATTAAATAAGAGCCAGTAGTTTATGATGCAAATGCATTTAAAAATCTCCAGTTTTTTGGAGCCTCTCATATTTAGTGTCTACACTGATTTGTTTTATGGTATGCTGTACTTATTTCTGGCTAAGAAAAATCCCCCAAGATTCACCTGTGGGGTATTTTATTTAGTTGCGTATTTTTAGTTTTTTTGTTTTGTTTTGTTTGTTGTTGGTTTTTTGGTAGGTTGTTTTGCTAATTGTCAAAGTATCTCCCAAATGGATGTTCTCTGCTGCAGTCTTAGTTCTGGAGCACTCAGCCAGCAGTCCCCTTCTCTTTTCCAACTCAAAAACTGCATACCAGAATTGGTACCTCCTTCCATGCTGCTGTATTCAATAATCCATCACCATCAGTTTTTCTTAAACTAATGCATTCCAAACCATATTCTCTTTCCCTTTCTCTTTTTCTTGAGAATTTTTCCTCATTTTTGAGAATGCTTCTTTTCAAAAGAATAAATTACAGCTAAAGATCACCAGCAAGAGGTTATTTCCATTTTAGTTCTCTTCAAAGCAGACAATACATTTGTGATTGAAATAAAAGCTTAAAGTAAGATGAGTTCCATTTCCATCAGCTCTTGCTTAGTTCCCTCATTAACAGTTCTGGTTTTAACATGGTTCTTTCCACCATGAGCTATAGTTTCATCCTGTGCTGCACGGTATTTCTGACAGTGTTTCTGGTTTTGACCTAGTGCTTACAACTGGAGGAAACACTCTTTTAGTCCATCTTGAATTGCAGGTTCTGAAATGAATTTTATATTCTATCCTGATTTGCATGGTACTCTGAAAACAACAGAAGTAAAAGTTGGAAAAATTTTAAAGAAGCAATAAAGAATAAGTTGTTTTCAAAAGCTGAGGATTAGACTTGCAATTCTGTTTATTGGAAAATTTATTTTAAATTATTCTTCACTCAATACTCACATTTTTGTCTTCAGTTTTCTTCATTTTTGCTGAATTTAATTTCTTTGTCTTCCAAATATATAATTTGTCTTATTACTGTGTTATTTTTTTTAAGGTAATGTAATCTTTCTTTTTCAAAGTATGTGTTTTACATTTGTTTTGTGCATATTGCTAAAGGAGGAACATGAATTCGTCTCCATGTCCAGTCTCTGTATTTGATTTAATGCCTTTGTTCACTAATAGCCACCTACATTTTATAGAGAAGACTGTTAAGTATCTGAAAAAAATCAAAGTAAATGCTGCCATGTTCAATGGTTAAAATTGCTTAAATAGAATACTCAAGGCTGATTTTTCAGAGTAATCTGTGTAGCTTGATGCAAAGTAGTTGGTTATTATTTTGTGTTGGAACTGTAGATGTTTTTCTGATGCTTACTTTGTTTTCTTGTGGTTGTTGTGTGCAAGCACTTACTTTGCAAACCTAGAATTCTTGGCCTTCAACACTAGTGTAAATGAACAGCTGATTCTCCAGTTATCCTTGTTGGTTGTCTGTAAGAGTGATTGGTTGCTTTACAAGAAGAGATGTGCTTCTGTATGTGCATGCAAAAATAACCTTTTGGTAAAATGTAGAGAAATTGTAAAATGGTATACATCCATAGCTCTTCTTCAAGGCTGGAGGCCTCTTGGATGGAAACCAGTACTAGAAATGATTGCTGTTTGTTGGTACAAAATTATTGCAGTTTCTACAAAATTTAGAGGCACAAATGTCTGTATATATATGTGTGTGTATATATATATTTTCTATAGTAACTTATTGTATAATATTTATATTCAAATGTAAGCTACTTGTTCTTTTGAAGTAATAGTCTATTTTGTGGCTATGGGGGTTCATGGAGAGAAATGCAAGAGCGCTTTCAGGGCAGTGGATTTTAGAGATGATGGACCAAAAGTAGGAGAGCTCCAGAGAGACCAGGTGGAAGAAGTTCCTGAAAAGCAAGGATCCTGCTTGGAGGACTGATGGGAGTTGTGCTTGGAGGGTTCTGGGGCTGAGAGCCCAAAGGCTCAGTGCAGCTCCTGATTCTGTCTATAATCCTCTCTATGCCAGTAGTGGATAGTGTGAGTTCATGGTAGGAAATTAAAGGTATGGAAAAAAAGGGAATCCTGCCCTGCCCTTAAAAGCAGAGAAGCTGCTGGAGTTTTGATGAGTATGAGAGGCAGATAAATGACTCCCCATAGTCTGAGATGCCCATTCTTAGCTTCTAATATGAAGAAGAAGCTCCTCTTGGAGCTTCAGCCCAGGGCTGTAGACTCTTTTTCTTTACCTGTTACCGAGGAAAACAAACCTTTTCTTCCCAGCTGAATTAACCTGCTGCTTTCCTCATCCCACTGACTGCAGTTCAGTATCTGCCCAAATGTGTCTCCATACTTATTAAGGCTTCCACAGAAATCCCATGCCCTCAGGCCCTCCAATTCTCACTGTTTCACTGTTGGACTGTTGAAGGAGCTGCTGAGTTCACTGCACAGGTAAACACTGGTGAGCTTTGCCCCATCAGTTTTTCTCCCTCCTTCCCCACGATCATAAGTACATATGTTCCTTTAAATTGCATTAAGTTTTTTTACTTGCTTGCTTAAGGGTTTATCATCATTACTGGGATGCATATGAGGGAGCACCATTTCACAGACCATTTACATTCACAGCAACTGAAAATATTTGATAAAACAGGAAGGAAAGAATGGTTTCTGCCAGCTGTTAGGGCTGGCCTCTTTCATACCACTTGAATTGATGATTCTGGCTGTGGATAGTAGCTGCCCGTTAAGTTGTCTGTCTGTTGGCAAAAGTGCAATTTTCTCCCTTAAGCCTATTCAAGCACATGCCTTCTCAGATGTTTAGGTAGTAAGAATCTGTTCCATTAGGAATAGCAAGTATGATATAGCTGAGCATGCTGCTGGGAAAAGTTACTGTTCTTTATGGGTCTCTGATGAGAAAATAATCTTTGATCTGCATTGCCTTTCTGAACAAAGCTTTTGTAGGAATAGACTTCAGAGCCTATCCTATCAGTAACAATTATCTTCTCCCAGCAACAGTGCACTGCATTAATGAATTAAATAAACCTTGTGTAAAACAGATGGTGTTAATTTTTTAGGTCAGAAGCTATCCAGTTGGTCTACCCAACAACAGCAGCTAAGGTACGATTTGGGGGGGAAAGGAGAGGAGCAAATAAGAGGAGTGTATGTGCATGCATTTTTTTTTTCCAATACAAGCTCTTACATCTGAGTATCCCATTCAATTTCTGGTGCACATGGCAAATGACGTGTAGGGATTTGAAGTGTTTTCTGGAGAGTCTTCAAACGAGCAATCAGAGATAGTACTGCTGTATCATACAAACTACTAGTACATGTTTGTCAACTAGGACTCCATTCTGTTCTTGTACAGAAGGGGTTTTAAAAGCATGGGAAGCTTTACAAGGACAAGCACCGAGTGTCCTTATCCTAAGGAGTCTTCTCTGGACAGGAAAATAGGAGCTGTGGGAGTAATTCTCATCAGTAGCCTGTTAGTCTCTGATAGATAGAGGAAGCCTTGCAAAAAGCATGTATATGACAGCCCCTTATTGCAAATTACCTTTGGACACTTAATAGTTGTACAATACATACGATACATATATAGATGTATGTATCTTAAAATAAAATGGAGACATGACTATAGTTGTTTGCACATAATTCTTTAATACCATTTTAATTACACTTATCTGTGGTTAAATTATGTAGATATTTTAGGGCACATGTAATCAGATCTTTTAATGTGGATAATTGGAATTCATGTTTTTACTACAACCATCCTTTGCTCTCTGCAGCACAGCTCAGTTGGTCATTTGGCATGTACTGGCTTCTGTTAATGACATTCTGCCTGTTTAAACAAGAGCATGCTGTTCTAAGCAAATTAAATTTCTCACTCTTCCTGATCTTTTTTCTAATAAGGATTGATAAGGCTCATCATGAAAATCTGTTTGTAGTATAGTGCTTTCATAACAGTTGATTTCTGGAAGGAGCTAGATACTGTTGGATCTGTCCATTTGAACATTTGTCTAATGTACTTGGATTTCTATAGCAGGACAGTGTCAGTACAGCATAAGCTGCCACTAAAATACTGTAAAAATTTCAACTCTCTCCCTTGGTCAAATGTTGACAGTTCAGTGGCTCCAGGAAAGATCACAGGAATACTTAGGCTCTTTGGAGAACAGTTTCTGTCTGTAGATACTATTTAAAACATAATTAGGTGTGGCAATCAAATGGCAGTAGGAGAGTCAGAAACAGAGAGGTGTGTGTTGGCAGGTCAGTGAGAGCAGGAGAAGTTCAGTCCCAGTGTCCTTGTGCCAGACTAACATTCTCTGTGCTAGTCCTGAAAGCACCCTTGAGAAACAGTGATTGTCTGTGTGCTGACGTAGCTGTTCTTTCTACTTGCCCACTCAAGAAGTTCTACAAGCCTTCAAGGGATGTGGAGAGCATGAAAGTGTGTAAGATCTTATGAGAGGACCTGCAGGAATGAAACAGAGGAGGTTAAAGTTAGATGATGTGACTTCTATATAATGCACTTTCTTTGGTGGGAGGAAGAGGATTTTCCAATAGAGAATAAAAGTAAATCTTCTTTTTCAGAATATTAGTATTATTGCTGACTCTCTCTGGTCTGCTCGACAAGATGCCTAGTGTTTGGACAGGTGTCAATGTTTTATGAGTGTGTCCCAAAATGTTAATGAATACTCATTCATGCATTGCTATCCTTGCATGTCCTACTGAAACTGTAAGCCAGTGGCACCTCCTGATCTTTTTATTGTCTCTGTGCATTTTCATAAAGTAAATGAAAGCTTCTTTTTATAAAGAAATAGCAGAGAGCTTTTATCCAGAGTCCTTTCAGATATATACTTTTTTACAGAGTAAGCTTTAACTTAATAATGTCGTATATTTCTAGCCCTTTAATAACCTAAAATAGCCAAAGCCTTTTCACATTTTTTTCTTTTTATCCAGAACATGAAGCATTTCAAACTACCCCTCAAAACCACCATGCTCAGAGCCTGAAAGGTTTGGCACTTTTCTTCCTGGTGATCTTCCATCTGTGCTGTGTTGTGTCTTGCATGTAACACCAGAATCCATAGTTAATACCTATCCCATCACATTAAAGCACTTTCTCATTTGCAGAATCTACCTGGTCACTTGACAGCATATCAATGACAATATCTGCAAACCAGTTTGTTGATTAACATCTGTCACATCAGTTCTAGATGTGGCCAATTTTCTTTGTGCATGGAATTTCCATTGGTTTAGTGAAACTAGTGATGTCAAAAATGGTCAAGTCTTATGAACTGAGTGCCTTCTGTTGTGAATTTGATCTTAGTCTGAGTTCTGTCTGAGCTAGGAACAAATTCTGAGGCTGTGTTCTGCCTCTGTTGCCCCTGTGTTCTGCAGTGCTTGTTGAGCAGAAGAAAAACCTTCCAGCTCCTAAGAACAGGTGCACTTGTGTTTTTGCCTGATGCAAAGCTGCTCATATTAATCTCTTGAGGGATGGCTCATGGAATTCTGCTTTCCAGCTTAAGAGAAGATAAAGTCTCTGTATATGAAAACTTGGTGGAAAATGTACAGAGGGTTGGGAGCATCTAGAAGAGTCACCCTCAAGTGTACTTAATTTAGGAATAGGAGCTGGTAGAAGGAATAAACAACTGAAGAGTATAATGGTAAAAGTAGGCACTCTTACTCTTTACATAGCATTGCCCTTACACAATACCTTTTCTTAAATATGTTCCTTGACAAACACTGGTCAGCAGTGAGAAGGAAACAAATCTCAATTTCTTCCCACTGCCAGCTTAAAGTTTAACAGTGCTTCTGCAAATTAATCACAAGTTGGGCCTAAAAGTCTCTCCTAGATCTGAGTTCAGTTTTGCTTTGTCAGGTCACTGTTAAGTTACATAAATTTAACTTTTTCACATAGCTGTTTCTTTTAAAGCTAAAATTAAATGTGAGAAAGAATTGGAAATTTTGTTTCTTATAGAGGACACTTCAGTTCTCTGAAGTGTGCAGGTGTTTCCCCCTTGTCTTCCACTTTTATCTCTTAGTTCAATATGTATTGGCTGTTTTCTCAGGATCACTTACCTCTGAGAGCACTCCAGATAACTGTCAAGAAGCCAGAGCAGAGAACAGAAGAGGAAAAGAAGTTTGCAAAAAGCTGCTTTCAGGAGATAGAAAGCTCTCAAACTTAGAGCTGAAGACTGCAATTTCTTATGGCTGAAATGGCTCACTTTAGATGGTAAATATTTTTTTAATATACTACTTTTTAATTGTTCATTTTGTTACTGCTTACGCTTTGAGCTCACATCTAATAAAAGCTAGAATGGTAACTGTGTATTTTGCTTTTATCTTCAGTGGACTAATTATCTTCTGAATGTAAACTGGTCTGATAACTCCATGTTTTTGGCTGTTGACAAAGCTGTTATCGCATCTGAGGTGTTCTGTACATCGGAGATGGAGGAAGTGGGAACCTTCTTGACCTTATTTCTACTGAGAACAGATGATCTGTGGAAAGAGGGCTTTACCAGTTTAAAATCAATATCCTCACAATAATTTGGTGCGTGTACATGTTTTTCGTGTCAGGTGCTAGTGCATGTCTAACTTTGTACATAATAGAAGCCATAAAATTACCTCTCACTGGCCTAGCCATATTTTTTATTGTCTCCTACCACTGTACTCATTGTTTTTTGGGAGTGGGACAATCGTTTTAACATATTCTCGTTTTCTACTTTTCTGCCTTTCTCCTGTTGCCTCTTTCTCATACCCAGAGCAGCACAGAAACAAATTTCTCACTTTAAAAAAACTTCTCCATCCTCAGTTTCCCATGTTTTAGGGTTTTCTCTTTGCTTTATTGTACTGGACTTTGATTTCTTACATGACTGAAATGTAAGATATCATTGCATTTTGCTTAAGGAGTGGGAAATACTGGGGTGGGCTCCACTGCCCCCTTCACTCTAGAAGTCCTCAGAGGAATTACCTACCACAGGTTCTGCTCCTGCACCTGCATCTCCACACAGGCCAGCACAATCACAGAACTGTGCTGATGACAGCAGTGTCTTGCCCTTTGTGTACCAGCATGTTATCAGTACAGAGTTATTGCTGTGAATCCAGATCAGTCTGTGGGTCTGCCCCACTGTGTCCTCACAAATGACCCTTTGGGCACAAGTTGAAAGAGAGCACAGGAGACAGCCAAAAAGTTTTTAATGTTCAGCTTTTAATTTGTGGTTCTGTATTGAGTTCAGGTGCCCTGGTGTGGGTTGTCCTGTGCAGGACACAGCTGGTTCCAGAGAGCTCAGCAACAGCCCCGCCATGGGACACAGCTGAGCACATCGGTGAAGCTGGGGCACCTCTGTGGCAGTGTCTGTAAGAAAGGGCAAAATGCTGCATGGCAGAGAGGAGTGAGGAAGAAGGTGAAACAGTTCTCTGAGCACCCAAGTCAGAGAAGAAGAGGGAGGAATTGCTTCTGGTGCTGGAAATTCAGACCACAGAGGATCACATGCCAGAGCAGGTGCAGATTTTTCTGAAGGAACTGCAGTCTGTGGAGAGGAGCCATGGCAGAACAGGCTTCTGCTGAAGGACTGCAGCCTGTGGAGAGAGCCCATGATGGAGTGACAGAAAGAAGCTGTTACAGACTGACTGCAACACCCATGTTCCACTTTGCCCTGTGCTGCCTTGGACAAGGGGAGACAGAGAAGTTGGGGGTTCAAAGTGTAAAAGAGGGCAACAGAATGGAATGTGATATTTTAATTTGCTTTTGTTTCTTAGTGATTTAATCTATTTTAATTGGCAATAAATTAAATTAGCTTTCCTCATATTGATTCAAATATTGAAATTTACATCTGGATGCCAGTTATGGTGGAAAGTCCTGATTTCTGTTTGATCACTGCAAGTCATTATTGCCTTTAATTTTTAAGTAATCAAATTTTAATTTTTAAGGATTCATTCTATGTGAAGAAAGTAGTGTACCTTGTCTGAATCAGGAATTACATTTCTGGATGTATTCTGGTTAGGCCTTTCAAGTTCAGTGTACTCACCTCTTCACTAGAGTAGATCTCAGTGGCGAATTAACTCAGGAACATGTCTAATCCATTACATTTCAGCTGGAAAATAATACCAGCCATATTTTTACAGGTTGGAGCATGGGAGAGGCATTCTGAGGAGACGATGCTGCAGCATTATTTACTTTGGTAAAGCTGTTCTTACAGGTGTTAAGGGTGTGGCATCTTCCCAGTGTTATGTCTAGCAGTGCTTCAGAATGGGGCAAAGTTTGTGGTGAGTGGCATCTTCAGTGAAAGTGCTGTTAACTTTGGGCAAAGAAATAAGCAGAGTTTGGGAATGGGATTTATACTCTTGTGCTTTTCAGAGGTTATTTAGAAAACTAATAAAAGTAATAAGAATAATAAGTAATAGTAAAGTAATAAGTAAAATAATAAGTAATAAGAATAAGAAGGGAACTTCCTTTAGAGGATAAGTTTTATATGTATGTTCTTACACCACCTTTGGAAAATACCTGGCACTGGACACCAAGGGTATCTAGGCGGGGTACTAGGTGACATGACACACTTACTGGTTTATAATGGGAGCACTGGAATACAAACTTGATGGATAGCTTCCTAACATTAGCTAAATTAATCTTCATTTTTTTGTCCTCTCTCTTCACATTTCACTATAAAGGGAAGAGTTTCTGTTAAAGGGAACATGGTGAATTATCTGTCCATAAAACTGTTTGTGAACAGTTGGATGAAAAGGACTTCTTTGATAATGAATTAGATGAGCTTTGGAAAGAATTGCACGGTCACTGTAACTTCAAGTATTTTCTTCCAAAGATATTGCTCACTATTGATTATTGTCTTACTGTTTATTTGCTGTATAATTTATTTGTTAAGCTTTTCTGGCCTTTTCAGGGCCATAAAAGTAATACATATGGCAGTTCTCTTTTCCTTTGAAGTTTTATAAAAGGGGAAAGAATTCTTCATTTTGCATTTAGGCACCAGCTGCTCTGGAAAAGTCCATGATTATCTGTGTTCCATAGCTACCAAAAAATACCAAAAAGGTATTCCATAAACTTGTGATTTTTCCTTCGATCAGGCAAAGTGAGTTTGACATCTTTAAAAAAAAAAAAAGGCAGACTACGCTAGAACCAAATTTAGCATCTTCAGGAGCTGACCTAGGGTTCATCAGTTGCAATTGTAAAAAGATTGATGTTTTCATAGTGAAATGTTTTCATTAATCTAATTTAATCTATGAACAGAAGTATCTTCATTCCTCTTATTTCAGACTTCTGAACTCCTTTGCAAAATGAGAGATTGCTAGTGAGATTAGCTAATAACTGCAAAAATGGAAAAGTTTCACTGAGAACAGGTGTGGTAACAAAATGTACCATAAAGTCAGCCAGCATAATTAACATTAGTAAGGTAAGATCTTTCAGAGGTTAACTACAGGCTAATACTTTTGGTGGGACACTGATGTTTATTCTGATCTTGCAAACAAAAATAATGTTTATGAGCCATTGCAGAAAGAACTGGGAAATAAAGCACTTTGTAAAATGCCAGTCTGTGGTGGTTTTGGTTTCTGTTGATTTTGTCAGGCTTTTACTTGGTGTTCATTCCTGTGTATATCTATTGCAGGGTCTGTTTTATCTGATCTCTTACACAGAGTAAGTTAAAATAAGTTAGTTGTTAATACTTAGAGCATAAGACCCAAGTACTTCAAGGCAAGATATGATATGCCATATATTTGCTAACAAATAATAGAAGTTGAATATTCTTGATAATTTTCAGAAGACATGTGCCAGAAAGGAGTGCTCATAATGCCTTAAAGCACTAGGACAAAAAATACCTTTCTTTTGGAATTTTTAGTTAGTTTTATTTTTAAATTTTCTACCTATATTTATGTGAGCTGATATTTTAATATATTATATAAGGAAAGCAGGCAAATTTTTTTTTGTGATGGTTTGTTGTCATTGCTAATGCACATCTTGATGTTCTGATCCACATTTATAACCTTATCACTTATACAGGGAGAAGCAGTGTCAGTCAACAGAGAATTAGCACAGAATAGGGCATCCAAAACTACTTCTGCTGGCTTTTATCAATTTTTTGTTTGTTTTGAGTGGCAGTACATAACTGACAATAATCATTTAGGGCCCACTCTTTCCTTGGAAGGTCTGTGCCCTGCTGTGTACTTTTTGTCATCTCCAGGATTAAGCAGAAGAGATAACCCGAAAGTTCTGCTGTTTGGAAAACAATGGTTGCAGAGTTATTGGGTGTGGGCAGGGGACACAGTCACCATCCTTACATCCAGCAGATGAGAGAACAAGGAATGAAATAGAAGATGGATGTTTTTCTTCTGGTGTTACCATGTTAGACCAAAAGATTTCTAGGGGAATTAATGAGCAGCACTGCAAGAGAAAGCAGAGGTAGGAGCTTGGTGATAGCATCTGGTTGAACTCCACTAAGTCATTCAGCTACTTCTGTAGCATTGGAAGCAAGAGAATACTTTCCCATTCCTCCTTCAGATTGTTTGGAAGGAATATGTTCTATCCCAGGCTATCCATTCCCTAGCCCTTGACTTTGGGAGGGATGATGCCAGTTAGGCCAACAGGTTATTCTGGAGCATCAACACTGATAGATATGTGGTTATCTCAGCCTGGCCTGACCTGGTTTTCCACATCAGCTGATTTCCCTGGACTTCACCCTTTGTGCCTTTTCTCCCTGCCCTGGCAGTAGGGAGGTATGGCAGAGGGTGCTCGGCACAATGCTGTTCTTTTCCTAAGAAAAGACACAGCAGATCTGTTTTGTGTATGGGTCACTGGGACTCTCTGGCCACAACATGAGTGTGTGAAGTTAAAGCATCTCAGATGCTGTATGAAGGGAGAAGGAGAGGTTCCTGGATCTTCAGTGCTACTTACTCTGGAACTTGCAACGTGGAATGAAGTCTGTGATCCTCCCAGCAAGACTGGACCTGTTTGGATTTAACAGAGAGACAGATTCTTCTTATGTTAACAGCCTCTTCAAAACTGAAGCCTCATAGGGAGTTCAATTAGGTGCTTGACCTTTATTGAATATTGGTAGCACTGATGGGCATGTGATGTATATGAAGGACAAGATTTGGATGTCAAAGACAGGACAGCAGACACTAGTGCAGAGTCATTGGGAATGTCACAAACAACTGAAATCTGCAGTGTCTCTCTGGACTACAGAATTGTGACTTTCTTGGACATGGGAGAAGGAGCTCTCTGAACTACTGAGCACTGGTGTAAAGGTTGGTGTTGCTTCTATGTACTGGTTTGGCTTGCAATTTTGGCCAGCAACTGTGTGTAGCAGTAAATCCGTTTGAACTCTCCTATCTTTTCAGGAGTTTTGCCTCACTCTGACATTCTTTGCTCTCTGTGCTTTGAGAGAATTGCTGTGCCATAGAGAGAGGCTTCCTGGGCCCCAGGCACGACAGAAATACCGTAGTCAATGGAGCAGAGACATAGAGGCTTTAGCATGTTTCTGCTTGTCACCTCTAAAACCACTCTCAAATGCCACCAAAAAAGATGTTAGCTACATGTCTTCTTTTTTCCCTGGGTCTGGGAAGGGAAACATGCCAACACAGTCTGGAAGATTTAAACTGTAGCCCATCGATGCAGTTCTCACTCACATGATTTACTCAAGTAACACCATTTAGGTACTCCTGGGGTAGGGGAGTGCTAACACCACTGAAGCAATCCTGTTTTGCTCCCAAATGCTATAAAAGAGAAGGAAAGACTAGAGAATCTCTAAATGCCCAACTTGAGTATTGTTGTCTGAGGTACTCTAAAGGATTATTTCACCTGCTTATTATCCAAGTTCACTCTTGGATCATATTCACATTCATTCTTGGTTCATATTTCTTTTCTGGTGACAATGCTTGTCTGAACAATGAGCACATCTTCAAAGCCAGAACCATCATCTTGCCAGTTTATATTGGCCTCCTGAGAAAGCTGATAACCAGAGTGGACTTGGACAATCTGTACCTGTATTTCATGGATTGGATGTAAACTAAGATCTTGCATTTGCCTGTCCTGTGTGTTTGCTGCATCATTCTTAGGGTGACAGTGTTTAGCTATGTGCATGTAGCTAGCTCAGAGGATTTTGGTTTGTGTTTTTGTTTTGTGGTTGGTTGGTTTTGGGTTTTTTGTCAAAAAAGAAGAAAATGGTCAGACTTCCTTCATCTTACTGAAATTTCCTTATATTTGCTCTCTTTCCCTTTAGGATGACAAAGGTACCAACTGCATTAATCCTTTTGGATGCTAGAGGGAGCTCATGTCTTGAGCAGTCAGAATGAATCATGATACCTTGCACAATTCTTGAGGAAACACAGATGGAAAGTAAAGTGCTATTGATGACTATAATGCACCTTTTTCCATCACTGGCAAAATAGAAGGGCTGAATGTATCTGGTTAGGAAATTACACATGGCTTTCAGAGACACTCAGATAATTAAATGCTGTAGCTGCAGTTTCTTCTATATCTGAGCACCTTGCTGTTTTGACTGGATTTATCTTCCCAATTGCCTCTGAGGAAATAAATTGTCTCTCATATCCCTATGAATACACGGGAAGTGTGACACCAGGAGCACTCATGTTACTATGTGTGTGTATATACATACACAAAGTAGTAGTCCAAGCAAAATTCTCCAAAGCACTCAGAAGGAGGCTTGAAAACACAAGATAACATCATGAAACATATTGACTGACTCTTTTGCCATTTCCTCATTCTTCACTAGGGATCTGTAACAGTGCAGTTGATAGCATATTAGCAACCAGAATTCAGGGTCTTTGGAGGCTGAAATGCAGCCACACTTGAACTAGCCTAGCTTAAATACATTAGCTAAGATAACTTTCCATAATCAGAACAAATTTTAATTTACATTACACCCATTTCATCATTCAGAGTTCTTGTCATGTGGACCTCTAATCCTAGTGAGCACCACCTCTAATCTGTTTAGTTATATTTCAGCAAATCTTTACTCCTTCAGAAGAAGCTCAGCTGTCACTGTAATGCTCGGTGAGGTTACTTTAGGTGTCAGGGTAAGAGCAAATCGACAATCATACTGCTCCAGTGCCTGAGGCAAAGCAACCTTGCTGCGCAGAGCTTTGGCAAGCCGGGCTTGGCGTTTGTGCTGGGGCAGCTCTGCCCAGGAGAGGGCAATGATGCTTGGCCATGTGCTCCAGTAGAGTAGCCATGGTGGGGAAAATGTAATATATTGGATAGGAAGGTCCATATAGACAGGTGGATATGAGATATGACACAAAATAATCACTCAAATGCAAGTCACGGTATTTCAGTGGCATGTTACTGCCAGAAACATGCTGTCCTGGTGGATACAGATCCTGTTAAAGAAGCCAGACAAGGAGGCTCTTGCAAAGGGCTGAAGATGGGAAGGCATTGCCAATGGCATTGACTTCGTAGATACCTATGCTTAAGTACTGCAGTTTTGATTTACAGCTGAGACTGATTTCTGGAATAGAAGATACTTCAGCCCTCTTCAAGGTACACTCAGAGTGCCTAAGCCTTTCTCCTTGGTATCTTGTGACACAGTTGTCTAAAGCCTGGTTGCTTGGGCTTTACTCTTACAGGATGCAGTAAATACTAAAAACTGTTACTCTCCTATAGGTGACACTGTAGAGACTCCTCTGCCCAAGGCAAACTTATGTTCCTTTACCACATAAGAGGTTCACCTGCATGAACACCAACACATATTTTTATTTACTTGGATTCCCTGTTAATTCTATCAGCCTTTTCCCCTTCTTTTTATTTCTGCCCTAGATTTAAAAGTTAAAATGAAAAAGGCTGAGACTATTATAACACATACTATTGAGGCTGTCCATATTCTTAGATGTACTTTGAACATGAGTACCATGATGGATAGATGGAGTAAAGAGGATTTTAGTTCTCAGGATAGTATTTATATAGCAGTTGTAGCTATGGGGAAATTATACCTGTGGGCCATATTTATGGTCTTGAGAGCTCTAGTCCTTATACCAGAGAGAAAAAGAGCCCTGAGACTGCTCTAGCTTCCATGGAACTGCAGCTGCACCTGAAAGGCAAAAACATCTGCAAGAGTTCCCTGCTTTGCTACTTGCTAATTAAATTAGCATTAAGGTGAAGAGTCACTGTAGAGAAATATAGAGGCAGACTCTGAATGTCTGGCTGTAACTTCATAGGAGAAAATAAAAACAACTTGCTAGCAGCAACAATTATAAGCGGTCAGTTGTAAACTTTTTTTTAAGGTAGAGTCAACAGATTATTTGTGAAAGCTTTGGCACCTCAGACTTCTTTTAGATGGGGTCTGGGTCAGGGCTGTCTATCCAAACCTTTCCTAGGGGATTGGGGTGGAAGATATTGCTGTGTAACATCTGTTCACTCATCTCACTCCAGCTTCAGTATTTCCTACCCACAGCATTTGCATCCCAGCAAGGAGCTCATATAGGCTCTGTTCACACTGAATGCAAGCATTGTCTTGTGAGACATCCCTGAATTGGCTGGAGGCTCCAGATGGTTGTGCTGCTATGCAGAGGGACTGGCTCAAGCTCTGGGTACAGGATGGCTGCTCACAGGGCCCCACAGGTAGGTGAGTGAAGTGTTGCACAGCACTGAGGTGTCAGTGTTCCTCCCAGTCCCAAAGCTGGCAGGATTGGTGCTGAATAGGGGAGTTGCTGCACTGAGCTGCCTCCCATGGTATAGATGTTCCTCTCTTCTGCTGTATTAAATGCCTCACAGGACGAGTGAGCAATGTCCTGACACCAGAATAAGGTCAGTGCCCATGACTGGGAAACTGGAAAAACCATGGGCTGCACCAAAATAGGCCACAAAAGGCCAAGACACTGGGTGGGGTCAGGACAAGGAGAGAGAGATGGGCTTGGAGCAAAGGCAGGCAGGGAGAGTTCATAGGCAGGTAGAGCAGAGCAGAAGACATGTCATGAAACAAAGAGTACTGAACATTCAGCTGTATCCCTTAAGGCTGCCTATACCCCCATAAGATGGGGAGGCCAAACATGGTTCAGGAACACAGAAGTCACTCCTGGTCAGGACAGGAGTTCATAAAAACTTGATTTCTCAGTCCCTATCAGTGTAGAGTTTAAGTGTTCTCAAATGTACCCTTGCAGCAGCATTCCCCTTTCTGGACAGGGAAATGGAGATGTGGAGGCTAAAGCAGCTTGCTTAAACTCACACAGGAAGCCCATGGCATACCAGAGTAAAGGAAGAAAGTCACCACCCTAATCTGACATTCCTGCCTGTAAACCTTTCCAAATGGGGCTACATGGGCAGGCAAAAATGTCACACAGTTGCTACTGTCCCCCCTATTCTAGTGGACCCTTGATTTACCAGGCTGCTGAGTGAGTGAGTGCTTCTCTGTATCACTCCTGTTATCCTGGAGAATGGCCTACAGGAATGAAAAGGAGGTGCAGGAAACACCAGTTGAGGGCATTAGAGGGACAGGATTTTGCTAAGCTGGCAGAACAAGACCTGTTTAGTAGAGAAATAAGAGTTCTAAGGATACAGAGACAAAGCAGGGAAGTTGCATTGAACTAAACCAGGATGGCACTTGCAGAGATTAATAGCTGCTTCCTGTCCCATATAATGTCTTCTCCTTGCAAACATACACAAAGGATTTTCTGGAAATGCATACTTCTTCTCACTCCAGTTCAGTTTCCCCTGGGTTTCAAGACACAGGTGCAATTGAATAAATGGGTCAAGTCTACATTAAATGAGATCAAACACAATTCGGGGCACAATCCAAAACTATACAGCCAATGAAGGCCTTTTCATTGTTTTAGTAGGATTAAAATCAGTTCTCGGTTAGATATTTTATTTAAAGTGGAACAGGATAACAGCAGTAGAGTGAAATAAAACAACCTGGAGAAATCCACTTACGCTCATTGTGTGTTCGCTTCAAATGCCAGTAGAATTATTAATAATAATATAAATAAATAAA